AGGGTGGCGTAAAGAACATGATTTTTTTTTCTTGATTGAGCTTGGGACTGAAAAGAAGGAAACACTACATCAATTGTAGACTCGTCTCCCTTCAGCTTTAAGGCCTAATGGAGCAAGTGAAGCCCCGGTTCTTGTAATTTCTTACAGCCCACTAAATCATAGTTTAACGTACAGGAGGTTTAAAGCCAGTATTCGGTATAAAAAAATTATGAAACACCAGCTAGGACACTTATAATTTTCCAGTTCACGGAGAGTTATAGACGTCTCGAGAATTTGAGATGGTAAGATTACTCTGGATTGTTCCTCCTTTCAGGCAGTACTGAGACGGTTTGCGTTATCGGCGTGGTAAAAGTTAAAGTCGTTGGCACCGTTCAGAATGGAGAGCGTATATATGTCGCACTGCATCATCCGGGTGTTGCCATTCCAGAGACGCAGATTCCGTTACGACCCATGGCCGACCGCCGTCCAGTATTGCTGGGTCAGGCGCTTGAGAGCAAATCGAGTTACTCTCAAGACAAAGTTCAGCTGGTGCAGTGCTTTGTGTCCATAGTGCTCGGTATTCAGTCGGGTCAGATTAATAACGCCATAGAGGACCTTCAGGAGAAGATGCAGCGCAAGTTTGAGGATGTTGTGGTAAAAGACAGATCAAAGTGGATCAGAGGTGACGTATCGTCTGTTACTGAGTATATCTGGGGCACTGAAGAAGGTGCACAGTTTCATTTGCGTCAAATGGTGGATTTATGGGAAGCTAAGGATTCTGGAGCTGCCCCCTTCTAACTTTAAGTTTGAAATTGACGCCTGTCGGGTAGAGGCATCCTGCTCACTAATAATTTTTGGGGATACTTTGTTCACAGTGGCGTAACTCGGACCATCTGAACTACGAAATGGGGACTGAAGGTTCTAACCTACATCGTTGACGTCATCTTAGTCTGTTACAGACTGAGAATCGAGACGGCGAGGACGCTTGTAACAGTAGCAGTTAAAGGACCGGATGAGACGTTTCTTTCATACACAGTATCGTAAGAAATGTCAGAGTGATCTCACAAAACACCTGAGCTTCAAGTAAATGAGGCCAAAAATTGCAAAGATGAGGGCAGAATGATTAAGATAGCCTAGCTAAGTTATTAATTATTATCCATTTATTTTGTGTTTCTGAGCGGGCAAATTACCATTTCTTTTTCGTATTTAGGTCTGAAATGGAAGATTTTCATTTTCCTTGTCATTGTCGGACTGCTTTCTGGCTTGTTGTACGAGTTTCTTGCCCCAGGAACTTGGTTCCAGTATCAGTTGTGTAAACGAGGGTGCATCAAGGGTCATTCGGCTACCTTTAAATACACAACACATGATATACAAGTAAGTATCACACAGCCAGGAATTATATCCCTCGAATCCTAAGTCACGTACAGTCGAACCTGAAGCATCGTATTAAGTGATTAGTTGTCAAAGTCCCAAAATTCTTTCTCCATAAACGCTCCAATTTTCACCTCTATAAGCGGTCACCCTTTTCTGGGTTTCAACGGCCTGTTCGTACTGACTTCCACTTGTATTGGACGGTGAAACCACTGAAATTAAACTAAGAAAAGCTATCAAGTATGATTAATCCATGTTTTTATTTTGAAATCAGTGCGAGTAGTATTTTTGGGCGAGTCTTTGTACTTTTGGTGATAAATAATGGTAAAAACGGCGTTTTTATCATGTTTTGTAATACCCCTTTATTGCAAGAACCTGTATTAGGCGGTCAATCTGTATTGAGCGGCCACCACGTCATTCCCCGTCGGTAACCGCTTAGTACAGGTGCGACTGCATAACATGCTTAAAAGTCTTCTCAATTTAGTTATTTCGCTGTCTCAGATGATTTTGGTTCTCCATAAGAAAGTGAAGGGACAAAGAGGAGTATCAAAGCTTGGAATATTTCACCAAAACAAATCAACAATAAGATTACGAGCTTGAGAGATTTTATCGCGTGATACTTGATGCGGGTGACGCTTACATCAACTATCAAGCTTAGAAATCGATCACAGGTAAAAGCTGATCGTTTTCCTCTACATCCACTCGTTGTTAAAAACTTGACAACAATCTGGCTCGTTATTTAATTTTTTTCTTTAAAATCAACCACTGTTTGGCTACTTACTTGAATCACTATGTAGTGCATTAGGTTCCAGCATCAATGATAGAACACCATGCAATAACAATAATAACCAAACGTCCGTTTCATCTTTCTCTTCAGTATATCAAAGTATACGGGCTGGAATTCACGTGGGAGAAATTGAAGAAGAATAAAAAGCTGGATCTTGAAGGTTGCCAACCATTTAACGCTACAGCTGGTAAGAACTTATTGATCAGTTGTTCTTTAATTCCCTTAATATCTAGTATTTAGTTTCCTTTTTTAGCTTATTCATCTATGTAACGATTAAGTGGATCTTTGCATGGCAGTTGATTGGTCCGCCTCGACTAAGAAATTTGCAAAATCATCATCAACTTACCCTTACATTTTGTGCTGACATTAATAAAGTGTGAATGTGAGTAAGGAACTTGTCCTTGAAATTAGGAGATCCTCGCAGCTAAGAAACATATCTAAAATCATAATATATCTAAAATATAGAAATATATCTAAAATCATCATTTATTGCTTGGATGGTTTATTTGGACCCAACACATTGACCAGCTCCCAGTTGGCTTGTTAGCTCAGTTGGTAGAGCGTTGCACCGGTATCGCAGAGGTCAGAGGTTCAAATCCCGCCTGAATTTTTTTCAGGTCCTATTTTCAACCACTCGTTTCAGTAGTGTTCTTAGCTGCGAGGATCTCTTAATTTCATCTCTTCACCGCAGTGCAAATATATGAATTTCATATAGCTAAAATCATCATGAACTTGTCCTTCTTCAGTAGCAAGTAATCAACCAAGGCCATCCAACACTAATCACGTGACAGTTTTCATTTACCAAAGAGATTTCCTTCCGTTATTGTCCTTAGGATTACACCAACCCATTGCCTTTGAATTCCTTTTTTCTCTGAACTTACTGTTGATTAATTAAAACATAATGGACACAAATCAAGCTACTTAGGGACCGGTTGTTATTTATCGCCGGAGAGCTCGAGAGGGAGGGGGGTCGGAGGATTTTGGTTGAGCCCCCATAGGGCTTTGTAATATTATTATGACTTCCTCTCCCTCACCCCCCATTGGCAGTTAAGGGCAGTCAATTTTCCATAGTCCCCCCATACCCTTTTAGCGAAGACGGATCCCCACTTCGTTCGCTCCACCTGAAAACCATGTGGTCACCCCCCCCCCCCCCCCAAAGTCTTATTCATAAAGGCAGTCGGAATATTTTTCTTTCTGTGAAGTAATGTTCATTGATGAATTTTGACTGGAGTGTTAATTTTCTTTCTCCTTTTATTTCCCAAGGCTACCGTTATTACCTAAACTTGGATCGGTGTGCCTATGACGAACGGATCGTTTTGGATCACAAGCCACCGATACGCGGACCTACGGTTTTTGCAATCAATTCCAATTGCTCTGTAGTTTATTTCGTAAACAAGGACAAATGGCAACCGTACACTTCGGCAGAACACATTCAGCGTGTGCCACCTTGCGTCTAAACCGTGCTGCACTTCCTTTTTTCATTTTAAATTTGGCAATAAATTGAAGTTTGATTTCAAGTTTAACGTTAACTGTGGTCATTAGACCGATAGCAGTTAAAAAGATTGGCTCTAAGCACAACCAGGTTGTTATTATACCCAATTGCATTTCCATTTTCTTTCTTAGATTTCTCTAATTGAAAGTTACTTCGATAAGTAAGGCGAGTATTTTGGTAAGAAGCAGTAAATTGTGAGGTTTGTTACCTAGCGATGTAAAGATGTAAAAAAAAAAAAGATTCAAAAACAGACGTTTATTTGGCTGTGTAACATTTAATGTGCTCTTGTTCCCAAAACGATCTGAAAAGAAGTTTTAAGTCGCAAGGGTAGTTATTTAAAGCTGTATTAGGGTAGTTATTTAAAGCTGTATTGACGTGGTGATTACTAAGATACTGAAGTACACTAAAAACTTATATTCATACTTAGAACGAATGACACCTTACTTGACCACCACATCGATGAGTCCTTAACTATCGATATAATGGACCAGTCATCAGTTATCTTCTAGGGCTGGAGTTGGAGGATTTTGGTTGTTTCACTGAATTAAAATTACATGATTCCCCAATAGGATTTTGTAGTAATCTAATGATCCGTTCTCATTGGTAGTCAATTTTCTGTGGTCCTTCCTTTTAACTCTGTTACAGACGACTGAACCCCCTCTGCTCCCCCTGGGAAGCATGTGATCCCCCAGAATCCTCCAGACCCCCACCCCAGGCGATGACGAGTGAGTGGTCCTTAATGATATTTCAAATAATCGATGCCTGTTAACCAGTGAATTAAAAATTTTTATTTCTACTTTAAGCGATTGACGCCTCACTTGACTGCTACACTGATGAGTCCTTTTAAAACTGTCAATATGATTCGGCGTTTACTTTACTTTTTCAGTTTCTGCCAAGCAGGTTAAGATTTAGTGTTTTGTACTTTCAAACGAAAATCATTTTTCATATGTTTTAAACATAGAAATCTATTAATTATGCTCAATTTGTAATGGATGGTAATGGCGGGAAATCGTCCTGTCTGATGTTCGTAACGCTGAACAGTGTCCTGGAAAAAGTGTGGTCAGGAGTGACACAATCTACGTCATTCCATTCTTATCTCCACCTGAGCCCTTCCTTAAAATCAGGAGAAACGCAAAATGGCAGCAGTCAGACATTCTACAAGGAACAAGTCTTTATTTACCACCTGAGGATAGGAGCAGAGGATTTTAAATGGGGTCACCTTTTTTTATGCTCTTGATTCAAGAGGAAACTGGTATCCACCTTGGAACAACCAGGGTCCGCCTTGAAGTTCACAAATGTGACGAAGTGATAATCATGAAAATACTTTTGTTATTCAGAATAACAAAAGCTCTAATAAACCAAGATGTCAAGTGAAAATCAAATAGCAATATATATTTTTAACAAACTCAACGACGAGGTAAGTAGGATACAATATTATTCGATCGACGACGACGATGATTGTCTTGTCTTCAAACAAGATGATGAATATTAATCATGGGAATAACTCTTTACATTATGGTCGAATATCTCCAAAAAACATTTACAATAAAATTCATGAAGGACCAGCCTTTCCCTTTGGCAGAAAAAAAGGAATTTCGAATAAGCCAGCGATTGTGTTATCATGCGGTCACCCAGATTACTAAATTACAACGAGGAAAACGTACTTTAATATGGTTGTAAAAAAACATCTGTAGATATATTTTTTGCAGCCCTTCTCCAGCTAGAGCCCTATCTACGAACCTAATCAGCTGTATATGAAGTATGGATAAAATGCCCGGCAACGGACATTACAAAGAGAGCAATTTTCAATCAAGTCTCGCTCTGTGAATGATCTAGGAAACTCTTACTACTCTCAGCCAATCACATATAAAACTAAAATACTCGTCAATTGTCAGTTCTGTTTCCTGCACGAAAAGCGTTTCACATGTTTTTTTGTAAGTTCTCATCAACTCCTAATGGTATTTTCCGTTTTTAATCGAAATACGTACTATGCAGTGTTACAACGGGCCTTCCAATACCTCAGGTTGGCCTTACAATGTTTTTTTTTTGTCTTGCTCTGTATATCATTCTCCTTATGAGATTTTCGTTTTTAAGATGCCAAGACATATTTAAAGAGGTTTCTACGATGTAGGTCTTTATAACATTTGGCACTCAGAATCAAATATCTTTCCAGGTGATGCACAATTGGAAAATTCAGGGGAAAAGTTTACTTCATCTTCCTTAATGTAATATTAATTTGATAATGATGGCAATCATAACAATGATAGTAATATTAATAGTAAAAGATTGTCTAACTAAATTAACATTACAAAAAGACTATCTGAGACCATCTAACTGTAAAGAAAAAACTGAGCATCTGGGCAAAATCAAATATAAAGTTTTCTACAAGCATACATGGACCAGCCATATAGTTTGTACTACGCGGTTCTCTCGTCTCCGCAAATGCTATCTAACACTTAAATTATTGAGCTGAAGGATCGTCAAGAAAATCTTTCCGGTCTATGTTGTTCTGTTCTTTTATCTGTATAAATATATTTGTTTTTCTAACAAAGCCTCTTTTGCAAACACCGGGAGTCTTCTTGACCTCCACATCTATAGCGGAATTCAGCCCCCATCCGAGTGAATTTAACTTCCGTTTAAGCCCAAACTCCCATCTAGTAGAAAATATTCTCTAGGATAATGTACACCTGGAGATTCCTGTTAGTCCTACACCTGGAGTTTCCTGCCCCCAGTGCCAGTTACTTGGGATGTGCAGAACACACGATATCCCTGCCCGATTCATACGGGACCCATCTCTCCGAGTGATAATATACAGTGGTACAGTTGTGATCCACTGCTACTACTTCTGCACCCCGGACCATTTCTTTGTTGTCCAAATGCGACCGAACATGTCGGATTCCGCCATACGCACATCTGTCCAGATTCAGATAATAATGTGCGTCTGAAAAAGAGAGAAAACGAGCTCATTAAAGAAGTAAGGCATGATTATTGAGTACATGTGCGTCTAATAACTTAACTCCAAAGGTTTTCGGTTAGTCATTTAAAATCCGTGTCAAGCTACTCCGACCTTAACCAAGCTGGTTCCGTTGCGAGATTTATCACAGTAATTTTCTATATAATTTACTTCACTTTCCTTGGTTTACTTAAAATTTATGAAACTGGTTATTATTTATCGCCTGTGGGGGTGGGGAGGGGCAATAATTTTGGTCGTGTCACAGTAATGCATAAGGCTCTATAGTATTCTAAGGATCCCTCCCTATTGACCGTCAGTTTTATATAGTCCTCCTTTAACTCCTTAGCCTCTAAGAGTGACTAGCATCTAATTTCTCCCAACCATACCATCCCTGAATCAAACATGAAAGTTATAAGAATAGAGGAGATGATCACCAACTAAAGCAGCTCTTGATTGTGGAACAAATTCTCCTTGTCAGCCTCTTTGCAAATGTATGGAGAACAGTATGGAGAATATGCATACTGATGTTAGGGTGTAAAGGGTTAATGTTCTGTTAGCGACGACCGATCCCCCTCCGTTACCCCTTAAAATCATAAGAATCAAAGGCTCCAGAGTCCCCCTCCCCCCCTCTCTCATCCCACCTTAGGTGATGATAAATAATGACTCTTCCCTTAGTTTACACAGTAAATCATATAGCAGTGCACCATTGTGTAATCTAGTGGCACACTTTTCCTAAGGGGCTTGTGTGATCGTCCGCTTGTTCCTCTACAATGCGTACCTAGAGTCATAGGATCACCCCATGTCGCGAATAGAAATATCACGCGGAAAAGTCAAAATTTAGCCAGGGCTAGAAAAAAGGTTCTATAGTAATTTTGTTAACAAAAGACGTATCGTGTAGAGGTCGATATCCTTAATGATCCTTTCTTTACCTGTGTAGTTTATTCTGCCAATATCCAAACCCAGTTTTTTCTTCAACTTGTCGAAATCAAACTCAATACAATGCACACGAGGAATCTATTTAAAGTAAAAGGAGACACAATCAATGAATCTTACGTGGAAGAAAAAACGTTTAACGGCATAGGATCACACGTGAGACGCAACTTCAAAGCAATTTTTTTTCTTTTAACAAAAGCTTCTCCCGGTAGTTTGGGGGACAGAAAAAAAAAACACACGTTTTAAGTCAAACAAAGAAAAAAACGACGATTTTTGTTAATCCATCGATCAAATCCTCGGTGCTATCTCTTAGCCATAGAAAATATTTTATTAAGAAGGCAAATTCCGTCGAGAAACCCCGTATTTTTTCGTGGTTTGTTTTTGCGTAACTGTAGTTTTATAATGCGGATCAATTCCAAACCAAACTGAGTACAGTTAGCTCTGTATTTTAAAAGTAAAGAAGGGGAGGCAATACCTGAAAGTCTGTAGTAGTAAATGTGAACCACAGTTCACTATCTTCGATGGAGCCCTGGCGACACCTGTAATAACGAAGGGCGGAGCCTGGGACGAACAACTGGTACAACAAAATTCCTAATAACACAGCTAGAATGAAGCCTGCGAACAACCAGCGGCCAACCCCTATGAAAACGTACAAGTATGTATTAAACAATGAAACAGAAAAAGGTGATTACTAAAGAAAATTTGACTTCGGATTCTTTGCTCTTATAATGATAATATAGCCGCGATAGTAATTTTGAATAGATTATGTTCCCCTTTAATTAAGTCCCACATTTACCTAACCCAGCGAACAGGCGCAAATCTTTTAGCTTCTCCGGCGAGAGGACGCTCTGCGCGAACGCGAACGTCGAGTCACGTACATGATGAGGAGCGTGAAGGGCGTGTCACGTGCCAGAGGAGGTACTTGAAGGTTAAGTCACGAGAGGAGGTACACTTCACGCTCGCCCCAAATAACATACTGGAAGACCTCGTGTGTGATTAAAAACATCAAATTACCAAAACAACTTTAAAGAAAGGCGACATAAATACCTGAAATACATTTTTTCTTGATCTTATTCACTTCTATTTTGACATCCTCTCTGACGTGCTTCCGCAAGTCGTCGCTTTTAACTTCGGCCATATGACTGGATGTAATACTCAGGAGAACTGAAACGAACGACTGTACTAATTTAACTTCGTGTTCTTTGGCGTCCCGTCTTTCTAGTGTTTGGCCGAGCAGAAAGGCATCACTGGCCACGCGACCGTTCAAGCGACTCTGAGGTATGGCCACTCCTGAGTGTTCCAATGAAGCAAAGATTCGCTCGCCGTTTTTCACTGGACCCAGTACTTTGACGTTCACCATGCCAATCACACACACGAGATCGTCTAAACCTGACACAGAACAGCCAGCTGTTAGTTCAAATAAGGGAATACTCATTTAGAATTGTTGAAAAAATCATTTATAAACATGACCCAGCATTTGTCCTCATGAATCTCTCATGAACGAGACGTCTAGACAAATCAAAGTAAGATCTCTATTTAGGAAACAACCTCGAGATTAAAATAAATAAAATCCAGCATTTATCCTCATGAATCTTTCGGTAGAACTTTGGACAATTCACAATAAGATCTCTATTCAGGGAACAACCTCGTGACTAGAAAAAGAGTCCCCCGATAGGATGTCCCTTTGATAAAAGAAACATTCTCTGATTACGAGAGTATTTTTTAGTAGTAACCAAAGTTTGCGTACTTTATATTGAGGTGTTCCGATGTAAAGAAAAGGGGGAAAAGACTGCCAAATACGAGAGGAAGAGGCTGAAATGCCAAAATAGACTGATAACCTTCTCTTACTGTTACCTTTTTCTTCGCCATCCGCTGGCGTCTTGGCCTCTAAATACGCAGATCTACTGATCACTCCCGCCATCTTGGCTTTAAACGCATTAATTTGGGTAAGTTTCTCTATGTGGGTCTTTCCATCAGGACCTTCAAAGAACCCGACGATATCACCCTCTTCGAGAGGAAGGTCGAGTTCAGCTTTGTTCAGTTTGAAGTGATAAGCAATGTCTCCTCTCTGTGTAACAATAGGCTTCTTAACTCGCAGTTCATTGATGATGGCAGATTGAGCGTCGAGTCGGTTTGTAATTATCTCTGCAGCGCTGATATCTGAAAGTAAGGGAGCTATTCATTAACCGAATTACTAAGTCAAATTACAGAGAGTAAAATGAACCGTTCAAATCGTCTAAGCGCGCTGATGCTCCCCAGTCGCTGTCTCGGTCATAGTTCTTTCTAAGGGGGAGGGGGGCTGGCGGAATGGTAACTAAACCTATAATAGTAACACCTATCAACAATAATTAGATGAGAATGGAACTGATACCTAAAACTATCAAGACCAAGATCAAGGTTTGTGTTTTCTGCAGGGCAAAGGGTCGAGGCCGTTAACAGATATCAAGTCCCTGATGATTCTTACTCTACTGCAAAAATCGAATTGATAATTGTACAGAAAGACTATCCTCTGTGGATATAACACGACTGGAACAGTGCAGGCAAGAGTAAAGTGGGCGTTCGCATCCGAAATAATATTCCTGTCAACCAATCAGAACTGAGATCAAGACACAAATGTTCATTAAAAAAAAACTCTCGTTAGCTCTGAAACGCTATGACTATGCCAAAAGAGGATTGAGTGATCTGTACTTACTTTCACTGTTCATGCCACTGCTCCAACTTCCATTAGGACTGGTATCCAATTCCAACACTACAAGAAGAAAGAAAGAAATGAGCTGACAATACACAAAATACGACTGCTTTTGTCAGCGGTTACACGCCAAGCTAAACAGATTCCCCGGCCACAACACTCACCGTGATAATAGATAGATTTAGAACCACGCTTGCCGCAAATCCGAACGGCAAACATTAGCCTCTGATTTCTACTATCGAGCCGTTATCTATTTCACTCCGTTTTCCTCACATAACACCATAATCTCGTGATTAAAACGTGCATAACTTACATTTTCGCTTTTTTCTATTAGTTTCCGGACTTGGTGTTCCACAATATCCGTTATCCACGCTCACTGAATCCTCATCTGTGAAATGCGGCAGACAAAAAAGGGACTCAGTTCATCGCCTTAATTTATGTATTACCACAAGAGACACTCCTCGGGTTCAATTTGGCGATTGTGAAAATTCTAGTTACCATATTTATCTTTTTAACAATCATTGGTGAAAGCATCTTCATACACCAAATAAAGGGAGGGAAGAGAACTTGGAGGAGAGGTTGAAGACGTCGAGAGGGGTCTAGACAACCTTACTTAACCAATTGTCTAAGAAAATTTCGGTGATGTGATTGAAAATTCTTTGTTTTAGGAGAGTTTAGAAGCAATAAAATTCATCTACAGGGTCATAACAGTGGAAACACAGCACCCTTACGCTCAGTGCACTGGACTCCGGGTCGAAAAATTTTGTGTTCTTGGACAAACCACTTCACTTTCACAGTGCCACTTTCCGCCCAAGAGTAAAGAATGAGTATCAACGAAATGTCAGGGAAGCCTGATGAAAACCTTGTGATGGATTGGCATCCCATCCAGGGAAGAGAAGTAATACTCCTAGTCACTTCATGCTAAGGTAACCGGGAAAAGCTTCGGCTGGGTTGGCCAATTGGCTTCAATGAGTACTGACTCAACCTTTTATCTACGGGGGCACGACTACAAGTACTGTGGATTTTTATGCCATATGAATTATTCCCTGTTCATTTTACCTTGTTCCTGTTTCGTGACTTTTTTGCTTTGCACTTGAAAGTTTTTACTGATGAATTCCTTCGTCGTTCCATCTGCAAAATGCAGTACAACAACCACACGGAAGATGTTTCTCTCCTCTCCTTTAACGCGTGAAAGTTCATATACTTTAATGCCATTGTTAGAATAAACTGAGTCGAGGTTGACGGCAAAATTCGCCACGAACAAATCCCTTTTACTGTACACTAAGTCCAAAGACACTCGTCCGTTCGTGTCCTGAAGAATTCTGGCGGCCTCTGGACATCTTTCCACGTATGCGCGCACATCCTAAGAGGAACGAGACAAAACGACATCAATAGACAGAAGCGACGTACATGGTCGACTCCCGAAAACACACCCTCGCTAACACGAACCAAAATCGAGTTCCCTTACACCCAACGACTTCTCCGTTCATTCGAGGCTGAAAGGAAGCGAAGCCCGATCCAAAGTGAATACCGAGAAAAAATTTAACATTCCTTCAAATTTGCCTTCATTTAAGATAGAAGCACATTAATAAGTTTCATTACCTGAATTGGTTTTTGCGAAGTTGCCATGAGGTGTACCTCTGCGTCCAAGAGCCTTTGTTCTGAGTTTGCATTTCTTCGCATCTGCCCTTTCTCGTAGACATCTTTCAAATCCAGAATGGTCACATTGGACTTTGTATCTTCCGTATAGCTCAGGTCGAATGAAGAAAACACTGAAAAAAGTAAAAATTAACTTTAAAAACTTATTCAAAGTGAATTGCCACTCGCGTAGAGCAAGCATTAACATTTAACTCCCCTGAGTGACCAAAATATAGATTTCTCCTTGCAATATTAATACAATAACAAGCCGTTAAATGACGAGGATAAAGAAAAATCATCAACTAGGGGATTGTTAGTTGATCCAATTCCAAATTCTTTAAACTCACATCATAAGACTTGTATGGCAGACAGTAAAGAGAATTACTGTACTGAGATCTTCGGAGTAAAAGGGTTAAAAGCTAATTTCCCGGTTACTCAACCGAGAAAGAATAAAAAGTTCATTCACGCAATCGAATTTGCACTGACACTGCGTGAGGTCGAAATATAAAATAAAAACGTAACTACGTTTTTTAGAGTCAGAATTGATAGTTGTGAACAAAGCATAAAGTTTTTCCCGTTTTGCTTTTTGGAAACAAAAGGCAATCGTTTTTACTGAGTAACATAAATACACCTAATCGATGGTTTAATATGATTTACATGTGTTTTTTTTGCGATGCCTTAATTGAATTATATGTTAACCCATCCAGTAAAGGCTCTATTGCTCCATTATTAAGCTATTTGTTAGTTTTCAATTACATCTCACGGCATAAGAGCAATTTTAACCCTTTAACCCTTAAGAGTGACTAGCATCTAATTTCCCCTCACAATATCACCACTGAATCACATTAGTGTCATCAGTGAGAATAAAGGAAATGATAACCAACCAAAGAAACTCTTGATTGTTAGACAAATTCTCCTTGTCAGGACCTTAGTAAATGTACAGAGACCAGTATGGAGAATATTCATACTGATGTTAGGGTCCAAAGTGTCGAAAGCAATCCTGAATTACCTTGGTTACGCTGTACTTTGCTACGTGATTTGTCCGATTTGATTTGCTACTTTCTCCACCAATCATATTCAAAACTAAAACCAATCGCAAACTGCTCACTCGCGTTTTCCCGCGCTTTAACCAGTTTGCCTATTTTTACCTCGAGCTCTCTTTGGCTCCTCGTTATAATTTCCTTGCTATGATTGGCTATTGTCATAGCTTTGGCTTTGGTTTTACGAAAACTACTCTATCTTAGTATATCACGCACGAGGTGTGTGATTCCAATTAATTACGCCTTTTTTTCCTTTTTTCATAGAAATAAATGAACACCTTTACCACGCGAACTGCGAACGTGATGGTGTGGTGGAAGGCCTATTGATTTGGAGTCAAGGTCAACAGTCCCCGCAAGGTATACATGAAAACAAGAACGAATCTGCTAAGCCATTGTTAATTTTTTTTCCTCTCTATATTTTTTTAACCCCTTTGCTAATCGAGCCCTGTAATTGACGTCATGGTTGAAAGATCTGCGTAGGAGATCTAGATTATATCTCTCATTTGATTATTCATTTTTTTTATCCTAACTAGCTTTCTCAGAGACATTGAATATCATTGCTTTAGTCAACATTCTGGATCACATAACGTAGTGTAAGTTGTAACCTTTTTAGGAACGTTAACACTTTTCGATTACTAATATTTCAAGGTCACTAAACTGAAAGTAAAGTTCAATACTCTTCAAGTCTCAATTTATCATCTTGTCTGAAAACCTATGCAATAGGTTTCGACTCAAAAAAGGTTTAAAAAAGGTTCAATTTGCTAAAATACTTTTTAATTTTCTGCGAAATATAATTACCCTTTTTTCTTGCGAATCGTAATTGCACTAAGGGACCAGTCGTTACATTTATGATCTGGGAGGCTAGAGGGATTTCTTTTGGGGGATCAGTCGAAAATAGACTGCCAATGAGGGGGGGGGGGGGGGGGGGGGGGTCATTAGGAAACTACAATGCTTTGGGGGGAACCAGGTAAGTATTTTGGAATCAAAACGAAAATCCTCCGTTCCCCCCCCGCTACCAAAAAAAATAACAAAGACCTGCCCAAAATATTTGTCATAAGAGATTTAGATTAAGAGAAGATTTATATCTCGTGGGCCCGGCACGTTTTTCTGATACCATCATTATCTTCCGGCCATAAAACGTGATACAGACCGCTACTTTCCACCTCCCTCACCACACGTCCAAGCAGCCAAGATGAAAGAGTAAAAATGACAGGGATAACGCTTAATAAACAAAAACCTGCGCACGTGCATCACAACTTTTGGTACTTTCTCGCCGGTTTTATGACTTACGTGGCATTTGAAAGAACTTTGACATACGAAAACTAATGGCTCAAATGTACCTTGTGCTTTTGACGCGAAAAAAAATTGCACCGAAATGCGATGTACTAGGCCAATTGCGTTGTTCGCGATAAGTTTCAAAGAGCGCCGATGTACTCGGTAATAGATGAAGGTTCATATACAGCTTTTCATCAACAACATAAAGATGAAATTGGTTCAATTAACTACCTAATGATTTCTGTTTAGAATATATCAGTGGACGCAGGAGGATGTCATCAGGCACCTTAAAACGTGACTCGTGCCACAGTTCTTTTATCCATGAGCACTTGACAGTTGAAAACAAAAATTCAAGCACGTATTTACGGTCAAAGACCTTTAGATATGGCAGAGAGTCGGTGATTGCGCACACGTACATCACATCCCGCTTAACCATTAAAAAAGAGGTGTTTGACCATAAAAAAAGATGCAAAGGTGTAAAGATTTAAGTGAGGATGATAAACAAAATCGCCTAGATTTGCGTGACAGAGTTCAAACATAGATGAAGTGAAAACGTGACAAGAATTCTAATGACCTCACATGGCACAATCGCACACGAATTACACGAAACATGATTATTCGAGTTTGGCCACTGAAAAGGAGGGAAATGTTCAGATGAAATCCGGTTACGCCTGCTATTCAGGCATGAATTGACAAACAAGCTTCTACTGATAATTTTAAGAGTTATGAAGCCAACGCCATGGGGGAAGTCAGTGGAACGTGACCTAGCTACATAAAGTTGCTAATTCAAAACTTTTCTGACACGTAAAAAGCCTCTTATTACACCAAGTGCAATTTTAAACTTATTTAATGCACTCTTAAACACAACACACTCTTCGTTTCATTATTTCAGCGACATAAGCTAGTTAAGTCTGTTAAATCTGACAAGAAGCAAAAAACTTTAATTTACAGATAACGCACTGTCGGAAATGACGTCAAATTAAGAAATCACAATATATTAAAATAAAACAAAAACTGTTGACTATTTGTTGCCTTTAACCTAAATGTGGCCTCGTCGCAGTTCAACACTCCTAACAGCATTGTAATCAAGTGAATGATAAGATCAGTGAGCTGTGCTAAAGGGGAAAGGTTTTTTGTAGTGTCCGATATTCATTTCCTTGCACAACTTTCGCTTGTTGAGTGATATCCTTTGTAAATAAAGTAAGGCCTTTTAATTCGTTCATTTATTAATCCTAGAGAAAAGCTTAACCAGAACAATGATGTACAACCTCGAATCACAAAAACGTGCGCAACCATGCAAATTACAACCTTGATGGCTGGCCAAGGTCAGCACAAAATATAACGATCAAGAGTAAATATATCGACGGTACATTGTATATTGCTAGACGAGCCACTGTGAGCTAAAAATTAAATCAAAGAAAACAATTTGCATAAAAGTCAGGGTTGTTATCACCTGTCAGAGGCTAAAAATCTGACAAAGGGAGGCTGCGCGTGCAAACAAAACTGCATTTTATTCTTGAGTTACAAGAGTTGTAGAGGGAGTGATAAAACATGATAAAGGTGAAATATCTCGTTGGAGTATTTTGTGAAAAAATATAGGCGGGTGTGAGGTCAGTTACTCAGAACATAAAGTCAATTATTTTTGGGAGTACATGACTGTCAATTATTGGCAGAGATAACTTAGATATGAATACAACATTTGAAACCTCATAAAACGTATTGAACTTTAAGAAAAAACGATAAAAGAACAGTATATCATTTCACCATTTTCCCCAATAAATCATGATTACATTACGCATGTAGTGCGCGATAGGGCATTGGGGTAGCAATTAAAAAACCTAATGACTCAAGCGCTGAATGACTTAAACATAATTTGAAGACCTATCCTTTGTGCGTTCATTTCATACCACAAGTATCCTACCTGAGTATATAGCTTACCTGAATCAGAACTCTGAAGAAAAGCTGGGTTGAAATACAAGCTGGTATCTTCCAGAATGTCATCCAAAGTAATCGGCTGTCCGTTGATATTAAGTACTTCGTTATTGCAAGGGTTGCTCATTTCCAAACTTATGTTGCCCTCCAGTTTGAGAAGTTTGAAGAAACGCTGGAATCAGTAATATATGTAAGATAAAAGAGCAGGATTCGAAGAGACAGGCACAAGCTTGCAGCTCGAAATACGATCGCCAAGAGAGTCCTCGATGTCTGAAATCCACGCGCAAGTTATTTCACAATAATCCGTCCGTGAGATGCACTAAAATGTCATAAAGTCGACCCAGATGGTAGATGAACTCTTGAACAAAGTCTACTCAGTACAGTCAGTAGTTCTCTGTGTTCGCGAATGACTCAACTGAAAACAGGAAGTTTTCACGAGCTGCAGACTTTTTATCTGTCAAAATGGAAATCAACTAAAAATTCCTTACATCATGTGTGGACTAAAACGATTTGTCCAATCAACCGTGAAACTTCCGGTGGCAGCACGCGGAAATTTATATACAGTTGCGATGTTTTCAGGCTTCAACCAGTCCAAGCTTCTCGATTTTTCGTTTTTATCCAAGAGAGAGAAATTTATATTACGAACCCAGTAAATTTACAGTTGAAAATCACCGTCGTAGGACATGAAAAATATACATAGCAACTGGTGAACAAACTTAACGTGACGCAAATATGCCATATAAGGATAGAAGAGGAAATAATTTGAGTGTAATCGCATTGCATTTCAACATCACCTGACTTCATAAACTACTACAGACACTCTTAGAAATATTCTTAAGTATTGGTTCTGTGCCAAATAGGGAGGAACCTGTGCCTCCAGGCTGCGCGCTTTAATCGTAACGTAACACATAGGTGAAACGAATTCACCATGGAAATTCTGGACCATGACATAATGGATTAAATCAAATATCCCGGATGAGGTAAGTACAGCGCACTGGATCAGATAACGTGGCCCGGTGCGTGAATAATAACCAGCACGATAAAATGCGCCGTATCGCGTCGCTTGAAGAAGTCAATCTACGTCATTACATTGACGGCAACATAAAAAAAATAACAAAGGTACTTTCTGATAAGGGAGGGCTTATTGCTGACTAGACAAATTTTATTTTAATGTTCTTTCTCGTCCTGCTGGCTGTACAAATATTCTAGTTGCATGTGACCCATTAATCTTATGGGCTTCCTTTTACGCGAGCTTTGGTTGTAATAAAAAACATAATAGACAATGACTTGAGGCTGCCAAGATCCCTAAAGACTGATATTTATAATTGGTGCTTTGTGTCTGCGATATTTCACGTCTGTTCCATCTACACAAGACGTTCAAAAAAAGAAAATAATTCTGGTTGATGCTCAGATGCTTCTCGCAAATGGCATAATTAATCCTAAAAACTCTCGTAAGTTCTCCATAATTCATCAGCTACTTGAATATCTTAAATCTTTAGTTCCATCTAACAAACAGATGTTAAACTTTGATTGATTCCGTCACTTAACAGAATGTTACCGAAGGAAACTTCGGTCATTTAACAATTTCAAAGTCAAGGGTCATTTAGTCTGGAAAGTTCACTTGAATACTCTCGAATAGTATCGTGTAACGTATCCCTTTGTGGTAAATAATTTAAGATTCAATAAGGATTTAATCACGCAAACTAAATAGTATATCCTGAATAAGTTCTCAGAAAACTCACGGTATGGGATATTGGAATTTTATACATCAAAATACGGATGGAAAACATTCCAGTATCGACAGTATATTTAAACTATTTAAAGGTTGTTCACAATACACGTGGAAATCGTTTCAGCCTGTGGTCTTTACAAGAGATGTTTTGACTCGAAGAGTGTCAAAACGGTACTTTTCAAAGAAAATTCTGAGAAAATCCTATCGTTAAAGCATCCCGATAACTTTAAGTCGGAGCGAAGATGATGAAAAAGCAAACGTGGTTGTTTGAATGTTGACAGGCAACCTTACAAGGCGAAGTATCTGCATAATTGTCACGCAATGTTTCCCAAGGCACACGTACGGAGCTAAAGATGAGATATAATCTAAGAAAATTCCACCAGAATTTTTAAGAAGCTATGAGTTAGGTCGCGAGGTTTGTTACCGGTCGGAAATTCCATATATAATCACAGTTTATTTTCATACGTGACTCGTAATGTGAATTCTTGGAACTCTACAGGAACACAAATCTAAGACCACGTGCGTAACGTATCGATTCTCATACGGCAGTGATAACAAAACGCAACGAGCTGTTTACTTTTTCTGGTCATTTATATAACGTAGTCATCAAGATTTCCGAACAAGTTTTGATAGAGAGAAATGCAATTACTTGACATTCCACATTTTAACCACAAAAAGGACAACGTGATGGAGCAGAAGTAGTACGCTTCAAAAGCATATCTCTTAAAGGTTGACTGAAAAAATACTTTGGCTAGAATTATGCCCCGAAAGGAAAGTTTATTTCAAAGTAGTGTCCATCTCAAACTTCCAAAGGAAATTCAAGATATTAGCTACGCATAAACCCAACCCTGAACTTTTTGTGTCAGCTCCAACTCCATTCCTCTCTCGGTTAATGCTTAAATCGAATAAATATATCCTCACTTCCGTCTCTATCACTGTCTATGTAATCATAACCGTCCGTCTGTCTGCCTTCCTTGTGCTCTTGTTCTCTCGGTTCCATCCCTTTTTTCCTTGACCAAAACCGGAATTACGTCACGTGTAATTATTTTTAACACTGTACAAAAAGGAAATAAGTTACTCCTCGTTCTTTATGTAAGGGGTTTCACTGGCGCTCTGTGAAATTACTTTCTTAAAACAGGATCTAACCAAAACTTTTCACTAGCAGAAAATAAGTATAAAAGTATTTCAGTAACAAAAACAACAAAAAGGAAAACAAGAACACCCGCCAAAGGCGAAGAATAACTAGTAAGAACAAACCAACCACTCTGAGACGCATCAAAAGTAAGTTCTAACATTATTTTAATAATAACCATGTTGTCATTGCCACATGCAATTCACACAGACATCCTCGTCTTTTCACAGCACGTCTAAATACTAACTACGTCTGTAAACTTAACCTTCCCCTGAGGTTTACTTTTAACAAATTTCATACATTTCATTTTGTGAATTAGAGTAAAGAATTCTTAATGCACGGCGAGCTAGTAGAGGACGTGACACTACGGCAAACCAATTTGAAAATGTGGTACTAATAGATTACCACAAAACGGAAACAAAAATAAAAACAAGTTTAAGCAGTTGCTTATGGTTAGTTTGAATGGAATAGGAAAGGGCGGGGCGGAAATCCATATAGCTTTGGTTAGCTGCTATTATTATTCAGCAATAACGTATTTCGAATCGTCATGAAAAATTTCTTTTTTTTTTTTTCAAAATCTGTCGAGTGGAGTTAGTCCTACATTAACCTTCTAACCCCCTAAGGGTGACTGGCGTCCTAATACTCCTCACAATATCACCTCTGAATCAAACTTTAAGGTCACAAGAATGAGGGTAAGGACCACCGACTAGAGAAAATGTTAATTGTTTCACAAATTTTCCTTGGCAGCACCTCAGAAAACGTATACAGCATGGAGAGAATGCATACTGATACTGTATTAAGGTGCAAAGAGTTCAATACAATACCATATACTGACATGTGTTAGCTCGTGTTACACCTAAAAGATACACTTTTTGTCCTCTAGTCACATTGAACAACTTCCTAAAACTGATTTCCAGCCCCTGCCTCCCTATTTCCCCTCTTCTTTCCCCTTTTTTTTGTTGCTGGTTATAGCAATTTACGAAAGAACCATGCGTTCTAAATTATTGTCATTTCAAAATTCCTCCTCGCTGTCCCTGATTCGTTCCTTGGAGAGATGGGCAAACTTTTCAAGCACTTCATCGACAGTCTTCTCCCCGTGAACTTTATTGTCGCGGGTACGGACATTGACCGTGTTGGAATTTTCTTCCTTTTCGCCCACAACTGAAAGGAAACAAGATGAAACAATTTCAACCCTAAGGAGCTTACCGTCTGTTGGATGCGAGACCTTTAGCAAACCTCGACGGTAACGGCAACGAGACTATTGCGAAACAAAAGCCGATATAATTAGGAAAAAAAGCACTCAATGTGTTCGTTTTAATATTCTGTACATTTTGAAACCAACAACATAACATCGCCAAAATGGGCCTGGTTCGAGAACTAGAACCCTGACAACGAAATATTTATGTTTCTTTTTGGAAATCAATGCTGTTCACAAGTCATGCTGAGGTTGAAATGTGGCTCCTGTAAAGACGGTTAAGACATTCAGCCGTTCGCCAAATTCTTACGAACAGAAATCAACATTATTCTTTAGAATTTCGCGAAGGGCTGAATTTATTTCATAGTCGACGGTTCTGTCCAGGTTGCGGTCCTGACGGAACAAGGTCTCAACTGTTAACAGCCGACAGAAGGCTGTTAACATCTGATCGTTAAACACCCTAAAAGGTCTGCGCACATAGGAGAAAGAAGCAATTTTCTGAAATAGCGGTTCATCGTGAAAATCAGTTCGTTACCTGAAATCATCGACAGGTCAATTTACTACTTTTTTAATTTATACATGATCAGATTCCCACTTCACAACTAGGTATTCAGTAGTGCACCCAATTAGTAAATGAGTGGCACGTGATCAAACTCGATCGAAACAAAATTTACTCTCTTTGCCATTTTGCTATTGCTTTAATAGCAGTTCAACTTTGAAAACCACTTAAAATCTTCTTACTGTCAAATGTCAGTTCATTTCATTTATTTATAAAATGGGAGTGTGAGGCGGGGATAAAAAATTGGAGCGCGACGTGTTTAATGATCGTAGTTTGTGCTCACTTTCCCTTCTTCCTTCCGTTGGGATGCTGAATTCGCAGGCGCCTTTGAATTCAATGAAGGAGAATTCATTCTACCATAGCTATTTTTTGTTCTTGCATTTGAAGTATAAAATTTTGCGTCGAAGCAAAAAGTATCAATTAGAATTCCCACACTGCATCTTTCTTTTCAGCAATACACAGTAAGTTGTCTTACCAAATATGAAGTTGTACTGAGCAAGCTGTGCGTTCCTGATCTTCTTGTTCAGTGTGGTGCCATGATCGAGGTCAACATCGGCCTGATAACCTGCACTGAACACGGTAGTCTTCACCTACACAACAAAATACGACACTATTAAATACCATTTCCGATTTGTAAATTCTCACTTCTGGCCGTAAGAGCAGTTTTAGATCATGCATCAAAAGTGATCCGCAGAGGCTTGAATAAATGTTTCCATAAGCGGCTGCCGATGGTGTGATAGGCTGCTGTGCCCTAAGACAAAACCCTTACGCGCGCGTAAACTTGTCGACACGCGTGGCACCGTGGAAGTGTTTTCGTTAAGTCCTTGAAAATGCAAAGGAAGGGAGGATTCCCGCATGTTAATGAAATCCTTACAGCTGCGAGACTGAAATCCACTTCCAGTTATAGTGCTACCTTGCTAAGAAACGAATAATAGCCGCAAGAAAACCAGATTAACGCCATCGGCACGAAATTTGGAGTCTCCCAGAAAAGATATACAGTTGTGAACATGAATCGTAATGAAATACAATCTTTTAGAAGTGCTACCGTTTATCTCACGATGTCGTCATTTCAGGTGTTGATGGTGAAGTTTCGACTCCATCATTTACATTGAATAGAAATTATTGTGAAGTGTGGTCATATGCATTACTAGACATGCTCTGACGAGGAATGGCGCCACTAGTACGCATGGATAACATTTAAATGAAAGTATTTACATACCTTGACTGCATAGTCTTCGTACTTAGGGGAAACAGGAATGACGATGGCTTGAGTTGGAGAAAGCCAGAACGGCCTGCAACAACAAAATAAAACAGTTTACAAATCACAAAATCAATCACTGGAGCAGTTTTCAATTGAATGTCGAAAGAAATCCGGGATTACTTTGTTTTTGCTTTACTTCGTTATGTGGTTGGTTTAGAAAACTCGCGCCACTTTCTTAACCAATCAGATGCAAAACTACAACAAATCACGCTCTGATTGGCTCATAAAAGTAATTTCCTTTCTATTGATTGGCTGTTGTGACTACTTTGGTTTTGGTTTTGCGACACTCAATACAAAAGCACTCTATTCATCTACTGTTTATCGTTTATTACCAATAAATAAGGTACTACTCGTTATTTACCATTTCCCACCAAAATTCTCAGTAAGGACAGCAATCATTCTCTCTACGGAGCCCAATATGGCGCGGTGAATGATGACAGGCCTTTTCTTCTCATCGCCATCGCCACTAAATCATCAAATGACACAACAACAATACAGAAATTCAACTACAACACCTTATCTATGCGCCATTATATTTATTCAGCCATGTTAAATAGCCTGACCATCTCCTTTCAGGACTTTATCAGTAAGCTACTCGTTAAATATAATCTTGAAAATTTGTCTTAATTATATGTGTTATTGAGAAGTACTCCTGCCTCCTCAAAGACAATATACCGTATAATGTATTGTAAGTAACTGTATATTCAGAAAGTAACATTGTAAGTAGATTATTGTATTATTAGTAGTGTAAGTAGCCCGAATTGCTAGTAATTATATTTTTTGTAAGTAACCATATTCAGTACTGTATTGCTAGCACGAGTAACCTACATTGTAAACATCATAAGTATTTTTCTGTAAGTAGAGTAGTGTAATGAGTCTTGCATTGTAAGTAATGTTTTGTAGAATTGTGTTTTGTGATAAAAGCATAGGTTTAAAAAAAAAAAAGACAAAAAAAAACAAAAAATAATTATTATTTCCACTTGAGTGTGCAACACCCCATCGTATCTACAGTAGAGGTTTTTCATACGAACATATTCTTCACTCAGTGGCTCATACTCTTCACTATCAGTAGCGAAAGACAGAAGCTGCGGGATATTTGAGGGAGGGGGGGGGGAATTAGAAAATCACGAGTCTGTGAAATATTTTTCGGCCTTCACTCCAGTATAAATTGCCATTTAAAGGTCGGATTACCAAATCCAACAGAAAAACGTCAATGAACTATACTATCAAGAAGATGGCAATTTATCCAAGAAAATTCAAATGGTAATCTCTCCAGCTTCGCTCAAGTTAAAGATTTTTTATAAGAGAAAAAAAAACGCTATGACAGTCTTCGCCAATCTCTCGATGAGAAGACTGAAAACTAACATCCGACCTTCTCTTACCTGACAAAAGTTAGGTTGAATCTTTCTGGCAGCTGGAAGTCAAGTTGTATGGTTGCACACTGGTGATACCGGCGGAGTGCGTCTTGAATCTGAATATCAATCTGGCAAAGAAAAACATGGATCACACTGACAACTAAAGCGCACCTTAAACAGGACCAGTGATAGTGCCAAGTACCTTTGAATTCATCCAAACTGATCACAAACTTGGTTATATTCCACAAGTAAAAAAAAGCTACCTAAAAGAGTTATTTGCTCAGGAAGAAGTCACTTCACTGTTTACCATTTAATTGACTATCAGTAGTGCACGACTTTCTTATCAATCCAAAGCTCCTTGAAAGCTGGCCGCTGTGGACAAGCTTTTGGAGCCTACGGTAGTCATACGATTCTCAGCGGTTCAATACTGCTGCGCAAAGAAATGCCCGGATGTTTACAGGAATCGATGGACCGACCGTTAACTGCGGAACTCGGTCATTTCCATGAAATTCACTCGATAAAAACCGAACCGCCCCACAGACACAGAAAATTTGTGAGCTAGTGGTGTACCTTGGGTCCATAAAATGCTCCATCTCCTGGGTTCAACTTCCAAGTCATTCCAAACTCATTGAGACGTCGTTCCAGCTCCTAAATAAATCAATGACAAAACTCTATGACCTCCTGATCCTGGCACACCAACATCAAAATGAAAATTCTACACATTGTTCTCTATACATGTCCTATGCTACAAACAAGGAGAATTTGTTAAACGATCGAAAGATTCTTTGCTTGCTGATCAATCATTACTGGGCAAATTTTTCATGCAAAGGTTTAACACTGTACGCGATATGCACAGAAGCCTATATCTATTCATGTATTCTGAAACTTATTACAGACAGATCCCTAGGAGACGTTTTTTTTCACCCTGTCACGAGCGTGGGACAGAAAAAAAATTGGAATCTTCATGAAGAATCGAATCTCAAACCCTCAGACTCCACTTCGCTTTTAAACGGGAGTAAGAAGCTTGTCTTCGTCTCACGCTTGTAAAAAAAAGGAAACCATCGAGAGCTTAACAATTTTTTTGTTTCGTTTAAGACAGATCCAGTGAAAAAGAGCATTAGAGCAATTTTCAATTGAGTGCAAAATTAATCCGGGATTGCTTTCCTTTAGCTTTACTTCGTTATGTGATTGGTCCAGAAATCTCGTGCCAATTTTTTCCACCAATCAGATGCAAACTTAAACGAATGACGACTTGGTTGCCGCGTTTGCACGCGCCTGACGCAGTTTGGTTGTTTTCATTTTGTGTTTTTTCATTGGCTCTTCAAGGTATTTTCCTTTCTTCTGATTGGCTGTTGTGATTACTTTGGTTTTGCTTTCACGACTCTCAATCGAAAAGCGCTATCACAGTGATCAGTAATCGCACCTTCTCAGCACTGTCCCAAAGCTCCAGCTTACCCATGTACTTCTCAGGTCTGGTGGACAGGAAAAGTTTGAAGGAGAAACCAAACTTGTTGTACACGAACTTCAGGAAATCCAGGCAGCCTTTGATTTCTTCACCAATCTGAAATAAAAAGACAGGCACTGATAAGTCCCATTCAACCGTATACTCACGTCTTCAGAATTCCTTAATACCCACTGAAAACGTTTTTCTTGATACATCTAAGAAATATTACTTCCTGCTGGTTAGAAAAATTTTCTCACCTTTTGCTTCTGCCACGAATTATTTTTCCACTTGAAAATTTCCGACCTCTAACAACCACGTATTACAAGCATATCCCCAAATTTACGTACATATGGAAAAACGCTCTCCAATACGTAAAAGACAGTGCAGATAATAGGTAATAGATCTTGGGAGTGAAAGGTTTAAGTTAAAGTAAAACTCGTACCTGATCTGGTCTACAAAAGATATGAGCATCATCTTGTTGAAATCTTCTGACTCGGGTCAGTCCAGTAAGTGTACCAGACAGTTCATTACGATGAAGCACTCCGAAGTCTGCCATCCTCAGTGGAAGCTCACGCCAAGACCGTGGACGATGGTCAAACATTACACTGGAAGAAAGTCAAATGTGAACAGAACATGCAAGAGGGTAACTCTTCTCGCAAGATAAAATCCATGATATCAAGATTTCACCTTATCTCTAAGAATCAAGGAGCAGATAAAAAGAGGACCTATTGGTGATTATTACATGGCGTGAGATTATGGCCGATAGAACGCGTGCTCTGATTGGCTATGAGCAAGATCAAAGAGGGGCATTATGTTCTCGTAATGACTACAGGCTGATTAGGGATTATGCAAATTTGGAAAAACACAAAGGCTCATTCAAGGACCAAGGCCTTTTTTTTCAATTTCATCGATGGTGATTAGTTGAAAAACCCCAATTTTTCACTATTTCATTTGCCAAGTTGTTATCGGACAGTTCAATAAGCCAATCACATTCAAATTTGTAGAGGTAAAATAATCAGACTCCCGCTTCGCAGTCGTCCGATTTCGTCAACACTCATATGATTACAGACCGAATTGGACTCCACTCAGTCCTACTACCATTAAAAATTGAGAAGCCCAAGAGAATACATACCAATGTCCTGGACAATTCATGGGCTTTAGAGCGTACCGTTCCTTCTCCACCTCAAAAGAGAACATGTTTTCCTGGGAGAGAAACACTGTGATATTCAAAACGCTGCTTGTATTTAGAGTATCATAAGGATCAGAATAAAATATGACCTTTTATTCTTACAGAGTAATGTTGCCAGTGTCCCGAAGTCTCCCACAACTTAGTGCTATAGATGTTTGGTGAAATAACTTCCTGGAAACCTCGCTTTTTGTACTCTTCCTAATGTAATAAAAAGTAAGAGATTTGTGTGACGTTAGAATTCATTTGCACAAAGGTCTACAGATGACCAAAAAGGCCAATTTGGATGGGTGGTTGTCCCAGTATTCAAACAGTCATCAATCATCTCTGTGATTGGTCCAAAAATTACCGCTTTACCGTTCTTAGGTCAGTTTGTTAGTTTTTACTTTGAGTTCTGATTGGGTTCTAGTGATTTTTCCATTGTTCTGATTGGCCATTGATATTTCTTTGATTTTGGTTTCAAGATGATCAATATTGAAATATGCTTTAACCCTTACTCCAGAGTTCAGCAAGCTAACTGATTGGCTTTTATTTTCCCTTTGATCTTCCTTTGCCATAATCCCAGAATAATATTGTGGTTTAACCTTTTAAAACCCAGAAGTGATTAACATGTAACTTCTTCTTGTAATATCCAAACGCTGTCCAGCAAACAGGAGACGAGACTACTCAAACTAATCAAGTGAAAGTTATTATCTTAATCTAACAGCAAATTCTCAAAACTTATTTCAAGGAAACGTGTAGCATCTAGAGGGGAGAATTAACAGTCAGATCTCAGGTAAATGGTGGAAACATGGTGGCAGAACAGTTAGCATGCAGGAGGTCCAGGCTTGAGGCTATACAGGCTAAACTTTTACAGTGCTTCTCTCCACCCAAGATTATAAATGAGTACAGACAACTTGTCAGGAAATGCAGACAAAATGCGTGGGGGTAACCTTGCAATGGATTAGAATCCTATCCAAGTGGGAATAGAAATACTGCTAGTCCCAATATACTATGGAAACTGGGACAAGCTCTGGCTGAATGAGTGACTAGAGTACAGACTTTCACATTTTTTAAAAAAGAAATGATAAGAAGGAAATATCTTAGAACCAAAAAATTACTAGCAACTCCTGTTAGAGATATTTCAAAGGGAACAGTACCTTAAGGAAATTTATTAGTGTGTTGTAGATGTGGGCTCCTTTCGGCAAAAAGAAACAGCTTCCAGGGCTTAACTCATGGAAGAAAAACAATTCATGATCCTGAATAGGAAAAAAATCATCATTTAGCATAATGAATCTTGGCTCACTGCTGCTTAAACATACACTGTATCGATGAAACATTTTGCAATCAGATCACTTAGCATATGGCATGTTGTTAACTTTGTGACCACTATTTGAATAAAATATATAAATAAAAATCATTCTGATAGCTTGGAAACTAGCAATAAAGGGAGAATTAGGCAGCCCCCTTATATAAAAAAATGCTCATTCTCATACCCTGCCTAATTTTCTGTGATCTCTTTTAGCAGCTTCCTCCTGAAATTTCTTCCAATCTTTCATCTGGTTAAGTAAAAGAATAAAAAGTAGACTTCAGTGGGCTTGTATTGGCATAAAACAGTTTCATGTATGTTGGTTATTAAATATAATGGTGGTTGCGGTTCTTAATTCCCTAAAGCTGACCTTGGTTCTAATAAAGGCAAACTAGGGCAAACTAATTTTAAGATCAAGAAAATCTGGAAACCATAAGCCTATCCAACAATTTTTAAATAATGCATGGCTTCTGTTAATGTTTCTACCAAAAAAGTTTTTCACCTGCCACCACTTGGCTGTGAAGCTTTAACCAATGAAGAAATGTAACAAAATACACTCTGTAACTTAGTAAATTATAAAATTGAAGGAATTTATATCATTAGAACAAAAAATCTAACCTCTTTATAAGTATTGCAAAAAACCTACTTATAAATTCAAGATTTCATAATACAAAAGTACAGAAACCAGAAATATGAGATGTTGGCACGGATGAAGTATACATACTCTCCTTTTTTTACTTAAAGAAATCATGTCTATTCCTAATAATTTTGTTGAATTCACCTGTTTCTCATTTGGGAATGAGATTCCGTAGAGCCGCTGGAGAGATTCTGCTTCGCAGTTTCCTTCCCAGTATGTGGCAGAGTTCTGAAGGCAGAGGAGTCAAAGGTCAATGTTGAAGTGCACTACATTTTACAGGCACAACATGCAAATAAAGGCAAACGAATGACTCAAAGGAAACATATTAAACATTATAATTGGCTTCTTAAACTTAGGCAGCTCAAAGAATTCGGTTCAGAAAATCAATGTAAACAACTTGAATGAATTTCAATATTTTACAATAATTTTTTTGGAAACTTTAGTTGAAATAGTAAAACTATGTTTGAGGTAAACAAAAAAATGGCAAATTTGGCCCCAGAAGGTCTAACATATCCTCACAATTCAGTGAATTAAAACAAAAGCATCTAACACAGTGCCTATACTTCACCATATACCTTAGTGACTGTCATGGCTTTTATCTTTCCAGTATGTCTTACATGAGGACCGCGGCACAAGTCAATAAGAGGCCCACACCTTAAACAACATAAACATCACAGCACTTTTAGCATCTTGTTGAAACATTCTATTCTTGTCAAAATGTACTTATCACTGCCCAGCCTCATGATTTAATCCTTTCACTCCCAAGGTTTCTTTTATTTCTTACTGTCTGCCACACAATTCTTATAATGTAAGTTTGGAGAATTTGGCATTGGATCAACCAATAATTCCCTAATTGATATTTTTCTTTATTCTCATCACTTGCCTGTTTGATATTGTATTGATATTGTGAGGAGAAATTAATCTTGGTCAGTCATGGGAGTTAAAGGTAAATATATTTCCACACTTACCTGTAGACAGTGGTGGTGGGGGTTTTTACTTTTTCCCTTATAATCCTGCATTTAAATTCATTGTACTGTAAAAGAGAACAAAGCCTTTAAAAATGACATAGCTGTAGATGTTTTTTTCCCTCCTAAAAGGACCTACAATTCACATCAGACCAAGTTCCTCTTTGTACAAAACTTACAACAGTTAAGAATAACACAAGTATCTCTTAATATAACATACTAGTTACTTGTTACAAAACTTGTCCAGCCATTATACAAGATCTCAATAAAGATTCTGCCAGTGATGTGCCAAGTTTAGTCAGACATTGTCACGAGATTTAGACATTTGGTTTGCAGCTTTGAATGATCGATATTGTTAAAACAAAAGTGTACATTATAGCATTAATGTTCTAATATGGAGGGAAAATATTCAATTCTAAAGCTTTGTGACAGGTAGCCCAAGGGAAGGAGGTGGAGTTGGCTTTACAAAAATTCACCAAGGGGAAAAATGGGAGTCAACATTTTGCACCTAAATTGTTATCCAGATTTATTGTGCAAGGTGAACAACATGGATTTTTTTGGTTAAGAACCAACAATGTTTAGAACAAAGCATACTGCAAGCCTTTATACAGAAGTATATTGTTGCTGCAAAAGTATGAGGCACAAACAAATACCAATTAACAACTATTTCAAAGTAATGTAAATGCATTTGGGTGCAAGGGAAAGTGAAGAGAGAGGGAAGGGGGCCATATTGGAACACTTATGTTGCTGTGAGTCTCTACTAAATAATGAAAAAGTGATACCTTGAACATCTCTAAGAGGTCTTCTTTTGACAGCTCAAGTCTTACAAATGGTTGTTTCTCCTTCACAATGGACTTCGTCAAAGAATCAAGAGAGGGATAGTCATTGGATGACACCTGCCTACAGTCAGCACAAAGAATCCAGAGAGTGTAAGAGATGACATAATCATAATAAACAATAACATCTCACAAGAACTGACACCTTAAAAAAAGTTTCCAGGACTTTAAAGAACTTCAAAACAGTGCAAACAAAAATTTTCCAACAATAGCTGAATAAGAAATAAAATTTAATCCATGCTTCCATAGGTTAAATTTCAATTCCAACATTTCTTGTACAGGTGCATTTAATATTTATTATAATGCTATATAACTTTTGTGGATTAATAACAGGATCTGGGAAACTGTACACCTACCCCTCCCCTTGTAACTTGTTTAGGTGTGCAGTTGCTTTCATACTGATATTGATCAATTTTCAACAGAAAGATTTAGTGTGAATTCCAACAATATCCCCAAATTAATATTTTTCTCACTTATCATCACCCTTCTGCATGAACCTGTATTGATAGTTGAAGGTGAAACTCCTTGGAACAGAGAGGATACACTGGATTACTACAATAGTAGCACTGAAACTGAATACAAATTGCATCCTTTACCTTCCATCCAAGAACATGTCATAGTAATATCCCTCTTCTATAGGAGGTCCATAACACAGATACCCCCCATAATGTCTCTCCATGGCTTCACCCATAATATGGGCACTAGAATGCCAAAAGACTGCTTTGGCTATTTGATATAAAGAACAAATCTATAATTAATTTTAATTCAATAGCAACACCTAACAATAAAGAATGGTTAATTGCATGGTATGATTATCCAGGCATGGTCATTTCCTGACAGGACTGTTGCCACTGGCAGCAACTAATATTTTGCAACTTGGGTGGGAGGCTCTATTTGACTCAAGCGCAGATTTGTTTGTCAGTTGAATGTGAAGTCTGTTTGGTGGAAACAGATTTTAAGTTTTGTCATAGCACTGTTGGCAGCAAAATTCAAGCATTGTTTGTCAGTCATTGTCATAAGTGAGGTTCAATCTGTCTGTAAATTTACACTCATTCAGCTTAACCCTTTAACCCCTAAGAGTGATTAGCACCAAATTTCTCCTTACAATATCATCCCTGAATCACATATTTAGGTTATGAGAATAAAGGAAACTAACTAAAGAAGCTCTTGATTGTTAAACAAATTCTCCTTGTCAGTACCTTAAGAAGTGTATTGAGCATAGTATAGAGAGTTTGCATACTGATGTTAAGGTGTGAAGGGCTAAAAAAACAACCTTAGCCAATCACTTCACATAGGCTTTTTGTAGGACCCCTTACCCATCAAATGACACTGCTATTCATGAGTTACTTCACTTTGGCGTGGACTTCCAGATAAATACCTTTTGATTGGACTTCATAAAATATAGAATACTCTATGTGGGAATGGCTATTACAGAACAGTAGTAAAATATTATTCATCAAAACACAATCAATCTTGACTGTCCTCAGTTACCTTCATCGTCTTCAAATTTTAAAAATTCTAGAGTACAGTCTCCTTCAAGAACTCTGTCCAAATCAAACACTTTACCATTAACCTAAAACGTAATTAAACATAACTTTTTAGGCTTTGATACTCCACACAGTGTACCTCAAAATGTAAGTGTGAAAATCACAAAAGGAAAATAAACCTCTTCAAAACTCAAAACTACTATATCTGAAGTAGATATACCAGTAATACTTTTAGAACAACAAACTCACCTTGCAAACAACAGTGTTATCAGCAAGTCCTTGGCTACAAAACAAAAGAGGAAATGATACAAGTGAAATTGTAGCTTAGGAAAAGCTTCAGGTTATCCAGCTATAGTTTCCTCAGTACAGTTGACTTTACATTTTCAAGTTAAAAAAAAGGCCATTCACAGTCTATTAGTTGCAACAGTTCAACTTCTATATCAGCTGCCTGTGTGGGTCTTCATACAGGTATCTCTGGGCAATCAAAGGATTGAACAGGTTTTGACAAATCTAAACCATACCTAATAGAACTTGCTATATCATAAGGGGTTGTCTTCCAGGCCTGTCCATCTACAACTTTACCATCTCGTAGAGTCACCTTAATTGGTGTTTTATCTTTGGCTGCAATGAAGAAAGAATTTTCAGCACAAAAAAAGTTTGGAAATGTTGGTGATAACTACACTTTCTATAAAAACCAATAAACTTCTTACTCCTTCATGCCATTTTAATTTAACAAATGCATGCCACACCTGTTGTCACATTCAAGAGTGATCAAAATCTAAATCCTCCTTGGAATTTAGTTACTCTCCTTGCAAGAAAGCAATAAGAGGTAGGAAAATTATCAACTAGAGAGAATTTTTAGGATGAACCACCATTCACATAACTACAGTGTAGCCAACAAAGAAATAATCTGTCATCAGTTAAGGAAGCTAACATAAAGTAAACAAAGTATAACTCAAGACAAAGCAGCTTGGCACTGATTCCTTGCTAGGGTAGTAATGATAATTTGATACCTCTTAACCCTTTAACTCCCATGAGTGACCAAGACAGAATTTCTCTTTGTGATATCAATACAATATCAAGCAGACAAGTAATGAGAATAATGAGATATTTCAATTAGAGGATTATCAGTTGATCTAACACCAGATTCTAAGAGCTTAAATTATACAAATTGCATTGCAGATAGTAAGGAGAATCGCTAATGAGATGTTAAGAGCAAAAAGGCTAAATAACAACCATGCATTACATGATTGTCCCTATCCCCTCTAGTTGGTCACCACTACACTAAAGAACAAAATAAACAATTCTATACCTTCAATTTTAGCATCATATTCTGCCTTCAGTCTATCAAAAAGCTTTACTCTTTCATCTAGAAAGGCTGGAGGTGGGTTCAACTAAAAAGCAATTATTACATTTGTTAGGAAAAAAAAGTAAGACCTCTTGGCTAACGTATAAAGGATATTGCACTGGCATTCAATGTTAGGTATAATCAAATGTGACAATGATTACAGATAGAAAGAACCTTGCAATAAAAAAAAACATATATCTAAGGTTATCATTTTGAGTAACCAGACTGTAGTACAAGTGTACGAGTAGATTGCACTAAACAGTATTATTTTCATCAATGTCATGTTTCCATGCTGATAATTGAGCAACAGACATTCAGAATAGAGGGCTTGTTTCACAGAGAAGACAGTGAAATGTTGATATGAAAGAGCTGAAATGACAACAAACAACAAGTCACTGACACAAAATTAAGACAGCAACAAAGAGAAAAGTGAAATCAATTACAACATTGGTGTTTTAAACATTAGTCAGCAACTAGCAGCACTTTTGGCAGAAGAAATTGTATTTCATTATAAAGTTAAATTTTCCAAAGTACTTCCTCTTTGTATTGTGACATTAAATTGTTTGAAAAGGTTTGAAACTCAGAGGGGGACATTTAGACCTCCCCTCCTAACAGGACCTTGACAGTGGAAAGCACCAGTTTCCAGTTTATTTTGATAACCCTGGATATGTAAAATATTGTGCCCAACATAATCAAAGTGAAACTGAATTTTCAATAAAAAATGACATATTTCATTCCAATGCAAAAATTTTCAAAAATTTTGCCTTTTTTTCCTGAATGCCTTTTGTTTCAACTAACACATAATTTCAAGCGATAATTTGCCCTGAAGTCCTCTGAGGAAATTTTTTCTGGACCCAAAAATGCAGTAAATTTTCACTCTTTCTTTAAGTCAAATGACGATATTAGCAATGTAAAAGTCACTTGAGTGTTGAAAAGAAAGATGCTTCATTGAACAATTTGAATGTGCGACAATTTCACTTGCTAGAGAGATCCCAAACAAACTGTTCCCAAGTCCAGAACCCAAAGGCTTTTTGGCACAATACAAAGTTCGCTTTCAACAAAGAACAAATGATTCTTATTTTTGTACCGAACGTCAAAATTTCCGAGAACTAGAATAGACACGTTTATCTCTGTAGAACAGTTAAACGTTCCGCAAGATTTCCGCATAAAGATATTTTATTTAGAAAACATTGGCCAAAAAGATGGTTTACTTCTGGGGTGAGAGCTTTGTTCTCGTTAAGAACGAAGTTAACCGAAAATCTTTCTAAATGTTCTTTTTTACTTGTACAAAACAGAAATCAAAATATTGCATCAGCCGTTTAGCGGAACTGACCTGCAGTTTATGTCAGTAATCGATAATTTACAATTAAATCTTAATTACGGCATACAACATCTCAGTGGATTGTAAGAATGTTAAATTTAACACAATGCACAGGGTCTGAAGGAGGAACCAAGATCGAATCTATCAGTTTTGGATGAGCGCACGTGAACATGCAAATTAGATGTCCTCCAGATGCTAACTTAACCGTTGACCTCGTAAGATGTCTATGTTCTGAACGAAACTTAACAAGATTCAATTCCTTCTTGATGAAACAGATGGTACGTACAACAAAGCCACAGACATGACAGCTGCGTCACATCAAATCCTGTGCATTGCGTTAAAGCTAACGCGATGCACAGGATCAGAATGAGGAACCAAGATCGAAGCTACCAATTTGGGATAAGTGCACGTGAACATGCAAATTAGATGTTCTCTAGTAGCTAAATTTATCTCAACACTTAGTCGTTGACCTCGCAAGATGTCTTCGTTCTGAACGAAACTTAACAAGATTCAGTTCCTTCTTAATGAACCTGATGGTAAGTACAACAAAGCCACGGACATCACAATTGCAAAGACAATTTCCAGACAGTATTTTTGCTATTTAGAGAGAGATCGACACGTACACTCGCACTCTTTCGTGACTTACTTCCAACGGAAATCCGCCTGTTTCTGCTTTCTTTTTCTTGTCTCTACCTTTAGCTCCTGCTTTTGCCTTAGGATCCTTTTCTTCCATATTCAAGTTTCCTACTTTCTCCTCGAGGCCACTATTATTCGACATTCCAAACGCTTATTTAATAACCAACGTGGGAAGTGACAAAAATTTCTAACGAGAAATTGTTGCATGTAAGGCGCACGCTTAAAAGCCAACTCAGCTGAAATCTCGTGGACTCAGACAAGATGGCGGATTAAACCTATTACAAAATTACCGTACTTTTGACTTTTGTTTAAAAGATTATGTCAATTTTCTTACCTCCAAAGGATATTCCACTATATCATCACTAGGTCTGATAGGTCCAGAACCACAGCAACAGAATAACCTCAACGGTTTGCCATGTCGAAACACATCTTCATAAAAATCCTTGATTTTTGTCGTTCGTGGTTTTAAGATCGTTGAGGTGGTTTGCCGTCGCAATGCAACGGCTAGTGTCCTGATCATAATATCTTACGATGATTGATGACGGCATAACAGTTACGACTGACATCGATCAAGCGCCGAGCTGATAAGTGACAGATTTTAGAACAATATTAATTAAACTCCTGCAAGTTCCTGCAATAGTTACTTTAATATCAAGAGTAGACGCGTTCATACTTACTGCTAACACTGTGGATGGAGTTACGTTATTTGACCGAAAGGTTAATTCTTGTTTCTTTGAAGTCATATCATTTAAATCCACTCACTGACAGCCTTTTCCATCGCTGTGTTTCGTACTCTCCAGTAAACTTTTAAGTTGAGAGGGAAACATTTCTTAGCTCGGTACCAGACTGCCCCTTTTTTTAGACTGGACGTAACGCAAAGCGTACTGTGGTCGTGTGCTAGTTACGCAATTTCAAATTTCCCCTTAGCATGGCTTGTTTTAACAACTTGATGATCCATTTCGAACATAGCCGATATCAGCTTACTACTTTCTCATTCGAAAACCTACAGCGTCGAGGCAAGCGAACACTAAAGGCTATGCCTCTTCAAAATCGTAGTTTGTCACGCGTTTGTTCCAATTCGGTGTTTAAAATGCTCAATGGTCGTCTTCCGATGAAAGAAGAATTCCAAGGACCCAAAACAACTTAGAATATCATCAGAAACTCCCCTCAGCTTTCTTGATGGGCGCTTGGGAGTATCTTGCAACGTTCCTCCAAGATTATTTCAAGGGGTGACCCGATTGGGTGACGCTTTAAGACCGCGAGTAGATGAGGTTCGAGGTACCCGGTATGTGTGGAGTAACACAACCTTCCAGTTGTTGAAAAATCCAACCCCCTGCGCACACGGTGCCTTGATAATATCCCTTTCTTCGCTATGATTTTGATCAACATGATTAGCATAAAAAGGGCTTTGGAAAGCCTCAGTGGCCAGGATACAAAGAGAAGAAGAGTGGAGTTAGATGATTGAGAGTACTTAAACCCTGGTGTTGAGCCCAATTATTTTTATGTTCTGGATTTAGTCTCTCTTTGTTCTCTTTTTTTTTTTTCGAAAGTGCAAGTCGTGGGGAAAATTTTTAAAATGATCTTCAACTATCGTGGCCAAGGTGGTTGCTAAATTATGCATACTACAGGCATTGAGGTCAGCCACCAATCCATGTGTGGTAGTAACTAATCATGAAAATTTAGAAGGTAAAACGAGACAACAAAGCGAGACTACTTTTCAACTGGGAAATTGGACTTCATTCGTTCATTTTCATTAATTGAGCTATGATTAACTTGAGTCTTGTAACAAGCAAACAGGAAGTAACGAAAAGATGTTTGTTATCATATTGAAAAAGTTACATGTAAACCTCATCGATTTGGGAAAACATGTTAAAACACAACTAAATAAGGAAGAAGGTAATAAGATGATTCATTTTCTTTCCAAAGAGTAGTTTACTATTCTGGCCTTTTAAAACCGGCACATGTATGTCGACTTTCATGGAAAGCATTCTAATAGTTTCGCTGTCTATTGACGCTTTCCACATAAAATAAGATTTATAAAGAGGAAATATCAAATATAAGAGACAAGGTATTGCTAAACGAGGTTAATAGAAAGGGCGTTTTGAAGGTCCTGAAAAAGGGACCGGAGGTGGCCCCGGTCTTTTTAAGGGAGGACGCATTCGTTCACTTTCAAAGTCTCCCAAAGAATGTCGCCTTCTGTCAGGAGGTCCATAGCCGTGAAATCTGTTAAATTCAGGTGGGCCTTCTCTGAATCCTTCGCGAGACCTAGGCGACCTCCCTGGACCTTCGAAAGAAGTCCACAAGGAAGGGTCGTCTTCGCGAAAGTCCACTCGATTAGGGTCACCATGAGGTGACACAGGAGGGCCTCTCCATCCGGGAGGGGGATGGCCAGGATGGTCATGTGGAAATTCCCATGGCCCTCTACCATGGTCTCTGAAAGGTTCCCTTCGGTGTTCTTCCCAGCGTTCAAACTCTCTCCTTCGCTCAACGTCATTCATCATTCCCGAGTGCGACACACGATGTGGGGGAGGGGGTGGTGCATCGCCTCTGGGTATCTGTTCGTGCGGTGACCGTCGGGAATCAGGTCGATGAATAGGAGCTCCTTCAGTTGATAGCCTCTTCACCATACGTGGGCCATTAGAAAATCCTTCTTCCCTAGGTATCCCGTGTGGACGATGTTCTTGACGATGCTCCGGAGGGATAGACGTGGTTTCGAATGAACCTCTTGGAGAATGACCTTGAGGTACTTGATCGGGAGGAACACGCCCGGACATCTCTGGTTGACCGTCACGCCTTTGAACTGGTGGACCCGCACTATCCCTTCCCTGTTCAAACTGGGGACCACGAGCTTGTGGGAAAGGCGCCCTCGGTCCAAATGGCGGTATTCCACGAGGTGACAAGTTGCCAGGACGATCAAAAGGTCGCTCCTGCGGAAAGCGCGGGGAACCTCCTCTCACTGAAGGACCTAGAAAATGTGGGCCAGGTCGGGGAAAATTTCCTGCTCGTGTCGCTTCACGTGCCTCAGGTGGCTGAGAATCAACGTGATCATGTCTCGCACCAAGTCCAGTGTTACCTCCAGATTCAGGAGGCATTTCCATCGGTCCTCCAATTGGTCTTTCTTCAGAGAAGTTCGACGATGATTCTCCTCTAAACTCCTCATTACTTTGAGGTCCTCTCTTCGCAATGATTTGTGGTTCTGACCGTTGGGGAGGTGCCTGCTCCGGTCTGATTTTAGAAAGAGGTTGAAATTGGCCTTCAGTGGGTGCTGGCCAAGACGGCACACCTTTTGGATTGTTATCTACAGGAGGATCAAATGATGACTGAGGTGAACTACCTGACTGCTCTTTCTGTTTCAACGTTTTTATAGAGTCACTCAGCTTCGGAAACAATGAGTCGATCAAAGAGAGGAGGGGTTTACTTTGAGGCGTATCAGAATTTTGCTGTGGAGCGACCGAAGGAGCCGAAGGAGCCGAAGGAGCAGAAACAACTGTTGGAGCAACGGTTGTACAATTGACTTCCACGTCAAACTGTTGCTGCATTTGTCTTCCTCTACTAAGCAACTGAGCCAATATGTCAACAGCACTGACTTTTTGTCCATTATCTTTTTTTGCCAAGGCAGCATCCTGCCCTCCAAGCTGGTCTGCAACAGAAGGGGTACTGCTGGAAGACGACGATTCCGATACAATTGCAGGAACAAATGCCTTGGCTGTAGGCTGTGCCCCAGAAAGGCCTGGTCCTGAGTTGCTTATAGCATTTTCAAAGAATGATTTGTTTGTCTGAAAACCGGTATTGTCTTTTACGTCTACATCCCCAAGTGGAGCTGGTGTTGTTTCTGGTGTCTCGTCACCTTCAACTAAATGCAACTCCGGAGAACCAACCGGTGACGGAGCAGACGCCTCTGAATCAGGCGACCCAATAGTACCACCAGCCTGTGAAAGACCTTCAATCACTTGGTGTATCTGAGTTCCTGGGACTGAACCTGTCATGACCTGAAGAGGTGCTGCAACTGGCAAAGGTGCTTGACTGTGTACAAAGCCGCTACCAAGTGGTTGCAGAGACCCCATACTACCCGGAAGTTGCGCATTTGCTCTCGGAAGTAACACTGTTTGACCTGACAGTTGTGGAAATGGCTGCTCTTGCCTTATGGCATGTCCTGTGCCAGGTAAGGGTCCTGACGGCTGCATTAACTGATTTTGAGTCATGCTAGGAGAAGGCCGTATTGGAGGACCTCCAGGTCTGAACTGAGGTGCAGGAGCTGGAAAACGAGCCCCTTGTACCCCCATAAAAGGACGAATGACCACTCCAACTGGAGCTGGACCAGGAGGACCTAGTTGTGGCTGATGAGGCAGCATGCTGCCCCGCAATGGCATCACAGTACCCAGATTTGGAGTAAGAGGTTGGGCAGGCGCTACACTGACAACAGGGGAAATTGATGGAGTACTATCCTGGGGTGTTGATTTTGCTGGCTGGGAATCTGAACTTTCAGTGGAGTTAGGTGTTTGAACATTGCTACCCTTGGCATCGTCTGCACTAGCCTCCTCACTTGTCTCTGACTTTTCACTGTCTGAATCATCTTCGATTTCCATGTCAGCAACTTCAATGTTGTCAACAGTTGGATCGATGGGTTTTTCTTCCTCTGGGGATTTGTTGCTGCCTTTCTTTCCTTCTGTTGGAGTTGATGGGGCTGATCCTTCTGCAACTTCAGGAAGGCCTGATGTGAGAAATGATGATTGTGGTGCTGTTACAGGCCCTGTCTTTGCTTTCTCTGCTTCCTTCTGAGCTAGCCTGTTCATTTTGCCATCAACTTTTTTCTTCAATGATGTGAGACGATTTCCAAAGGTCTTGTAAGCCTGAAATATAGGAAAGTTTAAGACAAATTACTAAAGTTACACAATTAGTTAATGCAGATTATTACCACACCAACAGAAAAATATATATATCTAGTTTCGTCCACTGCATAACTGAAAGTAACTATATTATTATCTTAAAACATAACAAACATTTCCCTTTGATAAATTGCATACCCAATTACACAGAGCTCAGGTAATAAAAAGACAAGACCAGTCATCATTTCTACTCAAGAAAATTTGCAAAATCTTTTCCTACACAGATTATTTACAATCATTTTAATACACTTGTCTGTTGCTAATGTCAGAAATATAAAAAGTAAAGTGGGGCATGGGGAGTAGGATGTGAGCCATAAAACTTACTGCAAAGTTAAGATGTCCTAAACTATTCTAATTGTGGAATATCACATACTGCATATACATGTAGTAACTCCTAGCACAGTTTGCACATCAAGTACATGCGTTCAACTTTAAACAGTGTTACCACTGTACTGTATAGTTTGATCAATCTTTCATTTGTATAGGTAATCACATGAGGCCAAGTACTATTAAGGATTAATTGCACGAGAGTTTTCAAAATTTTCCAAAATTGCCCGAGTCGCGAAGCGATGAGGGCAATTTGGAAAATTTTGAAAACTCAAGTGCAATTAATCCTTAATAGTACGAGGTCTCATGGGATTACTTGTTTATCAATAAAGGGCAAAATTTGTACGAAGGAAAATCACACGCGCAGTCTATTTTTATCTGGGAAGCAACGGATTAGCAATGCAACGGATTAGCCAATCATTAACAGGTAATCATGCCCTCTCTTGATTACTAAAAATGCCCTCAATTAAGAAAAAAATGCCCTCTCTCTCAACCAATCAAATCAGTAATTTTGCCCTTTATTGATAAATTCAGTAAGCAGAAAAGCTATTAATATGTATATCACCCTAACAATCAAGGAAAACTGATGCATATATGAATGTGACAGAAATTGTAGAGTAGCTACTCACATGAACAATGACTTTAACTTCTCCATAGGCAACATCAAAGAAAGCTCCTCCATCTTCAAGTACTTTGATCAAATTTTTCCTCTCTTCCTGCTCGCGCCTGAGTGTTTCTGAGAACTCTTGCAACTTAGAGGTAGCCAACTCATACTCTTCACAAAATTTTCCTCCACCTGTGCGATCTAAAAAAAGCACAGGGTGTACAAAAGGACAAACATAAGATGACAGCAATGTCCAACACCGTGGTTCCTACATCAAAAGTCAATTGACCCCTTAACTCCTGTGGGTGATCTAGTCAGAAATTCTCCTTACAATATCAATACAATATCAATACAATATCAAGCAGACAAGTGATGACAATTAACAGTAGAAAAATTTTAATGGGGAACAAAGTGGTCAATGCAATACCAAATTCTCCAACTAACTTCATAAGAATTTTATAACAGATACTAAAGAGAATTACTATTTAGATCTTGGGAATGGGTGGGATAAAAAGTGTTTCAGACTATGTGTAAGGATGTTTTTGGAGGACTTTTATTTTGCTATCATTATGGCTTCTCAACAGAATCAACTCTTGATCTCTGAATTAATCCTCAGCTATTCTAAAGTTCTAAAAGCGAGGTGATTATAATTGATCAGTGTTGTTATATTGCCATTAAAGTTACTAAGGTCTTTCCAACAAAATTAATCTATCACAATACTGGAAACAAACTACAATTCTGCATAAATTCAATTGAGCCAATTGGGTGGTAGAAACTGAACAAGCAAGGATGAAAAGGAATTAAAAAAATTCAGGGCACATTTCCTGCAATCAAAACAGCCAGTTTTGGTGAGATGACCATGGTAACAATACTTGCATTGTCAAAGTATGTTAGTTTAAGTTAGGATAGTCCTGAAATGTTGTAGAAGGTTACTTATAAAGTCAACAAACCTTTTAGTTGGCGAACACTCTCCAGATCTGATGCATCAATCCTCAAAGAATTCAGTTGAGATTCCTTGAGAGTAAGTTCTCCCTCAAAATCCCTTAAAGCTTTCAGAGCATCTATCAGTTTAGAGGGCTGGAAAGGAAAAGGAACTTAAGGAAACAGCACTAACAAAAAAATCCTCTTTTGCTTAACCCTTTATACCCTGACATCAGTATGCATATTCTCCACAGTTTTCCATACATTTCCTCAGGTGCTGATAGGGAGAATTTGTTTAAAAATCAAGAGCTGCTTTAGTTGGTGTTCATTTCCTAAATTCTCATGAACTTAATGGTAATTCAAGGGTGATACTGTAAGGAGAAACTATATGCTAATCAATCTTAGGGGTCAATAAAGATTTGAACAAGATGCCTTTTGACACAACACATAATCCACAAAATCCAGGGGAAAAAATCTAAGAATTATTAAAAGGTGAACAGGATGAGCAAAATGTTATAAAAGAACAATAGAAAAATGCTCAAGTTCCATAATGATATTTTTTCAGAATGTCATTAGTTTATTAAACCTACATCATTTTGAAGGCAATTGAACATAGAAATGGTGTTAAGCAAAGCATTGAAAAACTAAATCAAGATAATGATGATAATAATAATAATAATAATAATAATAAAATAGTAACAAAACATATTTATGCAGGATGACCATTTCAGTTATAAAAACTGCTATCAAAGAAAAAAAAATAAAACTAGGAGTCATTTCAATTTGAACACAATGAAAGCCATTCTTTTTATATATATATGGGACAACTCAGCATTAATGTTTTCAAAACAGCTCTTAACTTCTAAGAGTGACTAGCATCTAAATTCTCCCTATATTATCATTTCTACACCAGACATTACAGTCATAGGAATAAAAGAAATGATCACCAACTAAAGAAAATCCTGATTATCAAACAATTTCTTCTGGTCAGTAAGAGAGAAAATATATAGAGAACATTATGGTGAACATTTATACAGATGCTAGAACATAAAGGGCTAAGATGGGAAAATGACTTTGTTGACAAGATGTTAGCTTTCAGATTCTGATATACAAATTGCCCTGTGATTTGATCATACATGTGAGAGAATACAATTATGAGGTTGCTGTTTTCAACCTTTAACCTACTGTGGTCATATGAGGCTTCTGAGATAAATCTTATGATCCCAGTTCCAGGGGGAAGGGCCTCTCACCTTAAAATCTGCTGGCGGTAACCTCTTTTGTTTGGGTGATTTCACCTCCTTTTCCTTCTCTTTTTCAATAGCTTTCTCTTTTACTTTCTTGCTTATAATAGCAATATCACCTGAGGCTATAAACATCATAGGTTATATAAGAAACATCATCTACTGATATGTAAATGACAAGCTGAATTATACACACATTTTGATTGGTTCTTACTTATGATCAGATGCATAGCTGATGTCACCATTAACAACATTTCACTTTTTTTATTAAATAAAACATTAAGATTCCATGTTGCCATGGGTCTGTGCAGCAACAGATTACAGAAGACATCAAAATGTGGCACACTCCTGTGTGCCTCATGTAACAATTTTTTAGTTGTTACACCATTTTTACATCATATGTGATCTGTTACTGAACAAGACACGTTTTTATATTTATTAAATATAGACAAATGTGAAATCCACAGATTCACTTCAATTTACATTTTTGCCATCATTTTATTGAAAATTATAAAAAGATATTCCGTGGGATGGAAATTCCTATAAAAGGCAACACTTGAAGTGAAACAGTTTCCTTATTGCCAAAGGCCATCGAAATATCAACACAAAAAACTGTTTAACAAACAGAAGCACTTCGTATCTTATATCTTTCAAGCCGTACCTTACTGTCATTAATGTAGTTGAGACAAATAAAAGCATTCATTGACATATTGGGTATAGTTGGATATTTTGAATATTTTATAACTGTTCAACAGTGAATAGGCTTACCTAACTTATTGCGTAAAGCTTCGAGGTATTCCTTTTCGAACAATTTTCTCTCTTCCCAAATTTTTATAACTCTTTCCACGCTTCCTTTAATAGAACTCTCGCTGAAAGAAAAATTTTTAGAAAATTGAGACCCAAGATAATCTTTCGCGCACCTGCATTAAACATCCGTATAATGTGATGATTAAGAACACAAACAATCCATTTGCACGAACCTCAGAAGAACCATAGCCTCTTTCAGAATCTTCGTAAATGCATTGCTGAACTCTTTGCCCTTCTTGCGGCTGTTTTGAAGAACATCATTCACCAAATAAAACAACACCAATCGGCGATCAGCTTTTGAAGCTGCAACGAAACAAAACATCGTTTGGCAAGTGACCCTGTGAGCAGCTGGTCAGAGAATCGTGGAGGGTTAATTTGAAATGCCATTGCCCACGAACGTAAATTTAAAATTAGTAAGCTAGATCAAAGTGAACATCTTTGTCGAAAGAATACCTCTTCTGAGCTGGTCCAACCACACATTCGCCATATCGCTGGCATTCTTTTTGTGATGAATCATCCACAAGGAAACTGTTTGCACACTGTCCTGCGCGGACGACATATTTTGCAGCTTGCGTTCAAACGCTTTTTGATTAAGAAGCGCCATGTTGCTGCTGGTAAATGATGGAACGTTAAGCATGCGCTGAAACGGAAGCCGCTGATAAGTTTGGTTGTGCATTAGTCCTCTGTGGAGAGGTGCTAATCCCTGGACGTCAAAAATACGCCTCGTTACCAGATCTCCATTTCCGCTTTTTGGTGCACGGCGGTATCAGAGTAGCAGAAGCTAAGGGAAATGCATGCATAGGCAAGGAAAAAAGCTTCGAATGAGTGGATTGTTTAAACACAACCACGTTTTTATCACATGCTGACCACTCCTTAAGGGGCCATTTTGAGAAAAAAAAAAAGCATGAGACACATGACTAACCTGTGACCTCATCCTAGGACGGGTTATTAAGATGGCAGACGGTAAGATGGAACGAAGTTGCGCAAATTCCTCTACTGAAGAGAAAATGGAGAAATCCTTTGATCCAACTGAATACCAACATACAAGATATAATCCTCTTCGTGATGATTGGGTTCTCGTGTCTCCTCACCGAATGAAAAGACCGTGGAAAGGTCAAGTCGAAAAACCTCAAGAGGAGGAGATTCCTCGCTGGGACCCCAAGAATCCATTATGTCCAAGAACAGTACGTGCTAGTGGAAAGGTAAGCATTAACATTGGAAAGCTCAGAAGTCATACACTTACTGTGAGAAGAATACTAGAATGACTCTGATCTCTCTTTACTCAGAGAACATGTACAGGAGCGAGAACCATTAGGAATCCACCCCTCCCCTCTTCTCCCCTCCCCTTCTAAGAGAGTAGTAAAGGGGGTCTCCTGATCCGGTCTCACGTGCGAATTTTAGAAAAATTCATGGTTTAGGTATATTTTAAACAGCATTCAGAACAATGCAAAGAGGAAACTCCCACATCAAATTTGTAATTCTCCTTACTGTCAACGATATAATTCTTATAATGTTAGTTCAGAGAATTTAGTTTTGGATCAACTAATTATCCCTAAAGTGATCTTTTTCTTTATTCTCATCACTTATCTGATTGATATTTTATAGATAATGTAAGGAGAAATTCTGTTTTGGTCAATCATGGGAGTTAAAGGGTTAACCTTTCAAAAATTGCACGAAATGTGTTATATATATAACTAAATAGGCTGCCATTCAAAATATTACTCAACAAATTGACCTCTTACTCGTGAGATAGCAAAGGGCTGCCTCTCTTTCTTCCATCTCCCAGCAATCTGTTGAACAATTAGGAGCTACACAAAAAGACATTCTTGACTTGAACCCTGTAACCCCTGAGAGTGACAAGCATCTAATTTCTCCTTACAATATCACCCCTTGAATCACACATTAAGGTCACAAGAATAAAGGAAATAATCACTTTTAAATAAGTTCTCAAATGTGAAATGAATTCTCCTTGTCAGCATCTTAGGAAACATATACAGAACAGTATAGAGAATAGGTACGCTGATGGTAGGCTGTGAAGGGTAAATGAGGTTTTAATTTTTATGAATGACCAGAGTATTTTTTGAAATGTGCATTGCTAAGTTGTTTCAAAATGGCAGTGTCTTCTGTAGCATTTGTAACACATTTTAAGACAGTGTCAAAACAATCAGATGGCTCTTTGCAATCTAAATAAATATTGTAATGGATATTTTTCATTGGTGGAGATGAGCTATATGTTTGGGGTGCATGCTTTTCCTTAACCCTTTAAATCCCAAGATCCCACTAGTAATTCTTCTTAAGGTCTACGTATCCCACAATTCTTATCTTTGAAGAGTTTGGTAGTGGATCAACTAATAATCCCTTAATTGATTTGATAATTTCTTTATTTTTCATCACTTGCCTGCTTGATATTGTATCAAGAGAAATTATGAGGAGAAACTCTGTCCTAGTCACTCATAGGTTTGAAGGGTTAATGTGAAAAAATTAACAGTGATGACAATCAGGCCTCTTCAGGAAAAAGTGTTTTTGCTTCCCCCTTTTGAAATTTTAATTCACAATAAATTGTTTGCTCTTTATTTTTGAAAGGAAAATCCAGACTATGAAAGCACCTATGTGTTTGAAAATGACTTCCCTGCCCTGTTACAAGAGGAAGCACCTGCACCAGGTAAAGTAAATGCTGCGTATGGTAATTCAGACATTTTGTGTAGTGACTAAATGAGACTTGCAGGAAAGAGTTACAATCTATTTCAGTTTTCAGGAAAACATCAGGTATAATTTACCTCGCCCAATCCCCCTACGCCCTTAGCTAAAAGACATAAACTAATCAAGTAGTTATATGTGATCCTCTTTGTGAAAGAATTTTTAAGAAAAGACTGAAGTAAAAAACAGACTGAATAAAGGGGGTAAGTTTCTAAACAAACTGTGGTGCTGCGTCGGTGGGAGAGTATTACAGGGTAATTTATCAATTGAGTTGATAATGTAAATTGGCCACTGTAAAGTGTTTCAAAGCTGATGTTTCGAGTGTTAGCCTTCATCAGAAGGAATGACAGAGGTCATTCCCCTTGAAACATCAGCTTTGAAACTCTTTACAAAGGCTAATTTATGTAAAAAACAGATAGGTCTGATTATAGGCAATTGGTGATCTGCTGAAGTACAGTCAAATCTAAAATGGCTCTTTTTTTTACTAGGTCCTTCTGCTCACCACTTACTGAAATGTGAACCAGCTCAAGGAACATGGTAGGAGAAATTAACTTTTTATGGTATTTTTTCCTTCAAAGGGAGACCCAACCAATGAAAAGATCAAATTATAGTGAAGAGTGAGGTATTCTGTAAAATGACAAGTTGATCTATGTTTGCTGGTCCTCTGTGTTGTTTTGTTTAGTAGGGTGATGTGCTTCCATCCATGGTCTGATGTTACTCTTCCTCTTATGTCTATTGATGAAATCTTGGAAGTCATTAAAGAATGGATCAGACAGTACCAGGAATTGAGTAAAACCTACCGCTGGGTTCAGGTAAAAATCTTGTGAGCAATTTGAATTTAAGAATTATTTTTTAAAGGAAACCCTATTATCAAAATTGATCTTTAAAATTAAGATTTTTCATATTCCTCAAGAATGATTTAATTAGCCCAATGACCCCATGCTTGGCAGCTGGGTGTTGATTGATGTTTTCTTACAATTCAATCACTTGTCTTGTTCACTCAGTCAAGTATTTATTTACTTTCCCTTTCTCCTGCCCTGGGGAGGTTTTTTTGAGTCCTCAGGGCTTTTTGGTTTGTTCATTAAAGAAGGCCAAACAGCATTACTTGTTGGTTTTCTTGTTTTTGAGGTTTGCAAGGAGAAAAGATAAAAATGAAGGGCACCTATTTTGAAATTGGAATTTTACACACATCAACAAGTCGGATCCTATCAATAACAATTTACAGTTGACCCAATTGACCTTAAAACTTTTGTAATCAAAAGAGGTACTTTTTATGACAATAGTGAAAACCATGTGACATCATACAACCCAAAAAGGCACCTGCCTAGTTATCCATATATGCCTTATGCTATCCATTATATTTAATTTATTGATTTTTATATAATATAATTTGAGAGTTTTAAATGGTAATTTAGCAAAAACAGCACGATTTGTCCAAGATCATTTAACAAGCCAATGGTTCATTAACTGTGAGGTGTTGTTTGCTTTAGATATTTGAGAACAAAGGTGCTGTTATGGGATGTTCTAATCCTCATCCACATTGCCAGGCAAGTTGTCTTTTACCAAGTCTTCATTTGTTTGCATGCAATTTAAAACCCCACTTTGGAGATACTGGATTTCCCCAAATAAGTGCCCACCTCAAAGGCCAAAATGTCAAACAAGTGTCCCTTCAAATAAGTGCCCCCAACCCCTCCCTCACTTTTTTTATTTTTATTTTTTTAATAGTTAGCATACAGGGAAAAACCTGTTTCTATGGCCACTTTATTTATGACCTTTAAAGCTTCAACTACAGCAGAGTTAGTACGGGAGATTAATAAGTGTGCCCCTTAATTAAGCACCTCCTTCTAGCAAGCACCCCTGTCTTTAACTCAAACTTTTGAATAAATGCCTGAGGATTCATTGGAGGAGAAACTGTACTCAGGAAATGTACTCAGGTACAATATTGACAGGATACTTTGGTTTTATCATCTGAGGTAATGAAATAAATTGGCCATCATAGAGAGATTCTGAAGCAGAAATTTCAAGCATTAGCCCTTCGTCAGAGCAGAGGGCTAATGCTCAATATGTCAGCGTTGGAACCTCTCTATGGTGGCCAGTTTACTTTTATTGAATCAGTTGATGAATCTAAATTATCTTGACTCATAATACCCCTACTGACACAGCACCACAGTTTCTTCAGGTAACCTCTCTTGTTTACACCTACATATCAAAAAACAAGTGAAGTCATGAAAATCTGTTTCACTAATGGTGGGCATGCAAGACAAGTTTTTTAATCTGTCACTCTTATTAGAATTAATAATGGTGAATTCATTGAAAAATTTTAAAAATCAGAAATGCTCCATCCAAGTAAGGTATTGTACTTTCTGTTGGTTTACTTATCTGTCAGTAAGCTAAAGAAGAAAATACTTTTGTAGTCCTCTTATTATTCCACTTGGTCACATACAGTGTAAAGAGCTATTTCCATGATAAAGATACATCCTGTTACTTAAAAATGGGATGCTAAATTTAATGCAAGGGAAGGCTTTTTTTATCATTTGTAACATCCTATCCATTTTTTCAATGCAGATCTGGGCAAGTTCCTTTCTGCCAAATGAAGCAGCAATAAAGGTAAAATTTATTTTGAAAAAATTGTGCCATATGTGTGTAGATTTAAAGGAAAGATGTGTCATTAGTATTGTACTGTAAGAACATTCAACTTTACATCTACTAGAGGGTGTTTACAAGTAATTAATGATGTTGAATGATGCATCTTATAGCATCATATTGCTGAAAATCAAGAAATTTCTTGTAGGAGATACTAATGGTGATTTTTAATTTAAAAGAAGTGTTTTTGTTAGGAGCAATTGCTTCTTGGTCACCCCTGGGAATGTAAAGTTTCACCAAATTTCTACTATGCTTTCTCCTTAAATGCTTGAGATGGCCCTTTACTTGATGGTAGCAGGATTCATAATTGCAATACATATTTGCAGTCTGCCAATCTGGAGCAATCTTGGTACACCTTATTGCTTTAAGTTGTAAGACAAAGTGTATAAGCAAGATTTCAATGTACATGTCAATGGTTATTTTGAATCTTGATTTGTTTTGTTTTGTTTTTTTTGTTTATGGCAGCATCGGACACAACGAGAATATCTAGAGAAACATAAAATACCAATGCTAGTTGAGTATGCAAGACTGGAGGCGGAACAGAAGGTTTGTTTTTCATTTTAAACCTGTGTCTTTCATGGTCAGTATGGATGAGAAGGATAAGCCAAGCATTTTTGAAGTTAACTTATACAAAAAATTTGTGCACATGTTTGAAAACTGAGATAAATGGTAGTATTTATAATACCACATCTTGAGGGCATTAGGTCACAGGAGAAGGAGTATTATTTTTGCTTAAGTTTATCATCCAGTTCTTCACTAAATCAAATTAGATGTGGAATGCAGTTATGGAACAATATGTGATACTCTTTTGTGTAAAATTTTGTGCCATTAAATGTGAAAGACAAAATTTTTTTGAAAAGAATCTTTTGACTCTGATTTCTATGTACCAAATAGATTCCATGTTGTCATGAGTCTGTTCTGTATCAGGTAATTAGTGTTAACAACTGGGTTGAAAATGTAAATTAGCCACCGTAAAGGGTAAAAAAGCTTTAGCCTTTTTTACCCTTTACGGTGGCTAATTTACGTTTTCAACCCAGTTGCTAACACTAATTACCTGCTATACTCTCCCACCGACGCAGCACCACAGTTTCTTTAGAAACTTACCCCTTTGTTCTGTATCAGGTCACAGATGATGTCAAAATAGGGTAAGAACAAAAAGGTGACACACAAGGCACAGCCAAGTGTGTCACAGGTGTTCTTAACACATTTTTGACTTCTTTTGTGATCTATTACTGTGCAAAACATATTTGGGTGGTTACGCTTATTTGCACTGTGGCTTCCAATTTAGGTCCGTATTGTTGTGGAAAATAGTGACTGGATTGTAGTGGTTCCTTATTGGTATGTAATGTACTCTTTCTTGATACATTTACAAACACAAGGCTTTTGACATTACTCAACCTATGTTTACTGGTTGCCTTTACTGTCAGTGAATTTTCTTTCAAAGTTGATGTCCAGCATTTGGTATTAAATTTAATGAATATTATTCACTTTGCAGGGCAACTTGGCCTTATGAAGTTCTGCTGCTTCCAAGAAGACATGTTCAAAGATTATCAGATCTCACAGAAGAGGAGCAGAAAAGTAAATTTAATTTCTAGATACTTTATTTTGGATAGACTTTGTAGATTGTGTTTAAAAGTCACTAAAGATCACATTCAGATTGTGTTCTTTTTATTAGCTGAAAAGGGTTGCTGATCACACCCAAAAGGTTTTTGTATATATATGGGGTTACACATTTTCTTTTGAAATTCAGAAAAATTTTAAATTGTTTGCTACTTTTTGTTATAGATCTTGCTGATATAATGAAGAGACTACTGACCAAATATGACAATCTTTTTGAAGTTTCTTTTCCTTACTCTATGGGGTGGCACGGTATGTATACTATCAAGCGTTGAACCTTTTCCAATCTCTGGATACCTTTAGTCTTCTTTTACAGTGATGGTTTGGTCTTGTCGTGCAACATATTCTCTTCCCCATCAAAAGCTGCTTCAATTAGGGACTTGTCAGAAATTAGCAGGGGGGGAGGGGGGGTGGGAATTTTAAATTTGGGTTCGGAAATTAGGTGACCCATCCCTGCAATGGGAGTGAAATTTGCTAACCCTCCCCTTGAGCTTGGCCTAAAATATCATGACCCTCCCCCTCTTGTATAAATGATAAAATCTAGTTCTTGCAATACACTAGGGTGCATCAGTATTATGAAAACTCAAAATATATTTCTAATCTGTTCTTTGTCATGCTACATACATACATTTTCGATGACAGCATTAAGAGTCCGACTGATCACTCGACTCTCCTATTTCTCCCAATACAAAGTCTTCATAACTAGAACAAGTGGGTAATGCCTCATCCCCTTCATCTACCTCACATTCATCATGATCATCCACCTCTTCCAAATAAAGAACTTCCTTTTTCTTCTGTGGGTGAACCTCTACATGATCACGGGCATATATTTGCATGACCCTCCCCCTTTTAACTGCCCATTTTTCATGACCCCTCCCTTTTCTGAGGCTCAAAAAGTTGTGACCCCCCTCTGTTTCCACCCCCCCCCCCCCTGCTAATTTCTGACAAGTCCCTTAGAACAAAATTCCTTTTCTTTTGTAATGAGTGTCTGTGGATATCAGGTATGACACTTAGTGCTTTTCACCAATCACTCATCAAGGTTAAGCTTAAGTTTAAGTTTCCTGTGCAGAATTGTCTGCACTTTAGTCAGAAGTTGTTCAATATGTACCTAGAAATCAGCTGACACAAATAGCTCTAGTTGCTTTTTCTGTTGGTCCATTATTTTTGCTTATATTAGGATGTTAGTTAAGTCATTAATTTATTCCTTGTTGCAAACAGGGGTAACTACTCAAATATCCTTTTAAATTGTTTGTTTCAAGAGGCACATACTATCAGGGTTGGTTGAAAATTATTGATCAATGTCAGTATCCCAGCAACCATGCATCTACCCCTCCCTTAACCCAACAACAATCTACTGATAACAAGTTAGGGTTAATGTCAAAATTATTTAATGAAACCACCATTATATACTTGGAAAAGAAGGAGAGGAAAGGCTTGATGGTCTTGTGTTTGGTCCTTGAAGAACAAATTAAAAAGAAGCAAGGAAGAAATAGAAAGAGCAGTGGTCATATCAGAAAATGCCTGTTGATTAGAAAATATGAAAGCCTGACATCTTCCCTTCTGGCCTCTAACCCAGTTAATTAGTACTTATTGTTCCACCCTAACAGGTGCACCAACTGGTAAACAAGACACAGATTGTAGGTGAGACTTGTTGGATAAGATTTTCTCTGATTGCTGATAACCAGCAGAAAAGCCCCTCCTGGACAGAACAGGTCTTGAAGAAGAGGGGCCATAAAGTTTTTTATTATTCGATCTCTTTTTTATGACATTTTACCTACTCATCTTTTGTAAGTCAAATGAATGCAAGTTTTAGTAAGGGGCCTGATTATCTCTGAAGATGGCAAAGACTTCTGCAGAAATTCAAAAACCCTCCTGATATATACAAGTATCCCTTAAAATTCTGACAGTCTTGTGTGTTATTCCCTTGAAAATCAACCATTTGGGAAGAAGAATGATTCTTTACAAAGTTTCCTCTCTTATTGGACTAGTTTCCATCAGATTTTTACTCTATGTATTTCTCTAGCATGTGTCAATCAAGGCTTTTCAAAGGCATTAGTTTTGGCAGGTATAGGGCTTCTAAGAGTTTCATGTCAACAGAACATCTACCTTAGTAGATTGTAAGAACATTTTTGCAGCTTCTCTTAACTTGTGAAAAGGGTATCCTGCTCTTTTTTAAAAAGAAATCACCACCTTCACGATGAATGGTATCAATGAAGATGATGATCATTGTTATCATCATCATTATCATTATCAATTGTTATTATAGTCATTATGATTGTTGTTTTTTCATTCTTCATTGGTAAGATTTATATACTAGAAGTTAGTGACCAGTAACAATTTTTCTTTTTATGAAAAATTAGTTTTAACTATTCCATTTTGATCTGATTGCAGTCACTGGCAGTTACATGCACATTACTACCCTCCTTTGCTTCGTTCAGCCACGGTGAGACTTGTTCCAATGTCATTTCAATTGGCCATCACAGGGGTGGATCTAGGAGAGGGATGCAGAGGGTGCACACCACCACCCCCCCCCCCCCCCCCCATCAAGCTGACATGTGGCTTTTTAATACAACTTTAAGTTGTTATAATCTGTTGTATCGTCTGGTATATATGTTCTCAACAGTTCACACTCTGTCACAGCTTAGTCATAAGCCTTCCTCTTGGTTGTTCATTTATATTCCTGGATCTGCCCAAATTTCTTGACTGTATGTTTTCAGACTGAATTGAACTCAAGTGGTCCTAATGGTACTTTATACAATGGCTATAGCTCTTGCAACAAATAATTTGTAAATAGCTGTCTGAAACCAAGCTGTGCTGTGTAGCTTTCAATCTAACTTACCTACAGATTGTTTGGTTTTGATTTTTTTTTATTATTGTTGATCTTTTTTCAAGACAAATCTTCATATATGAAATGTCTAATGTCTCTTGCAGGTTAAAAAATTCATGGTTGGCTATGAAATGTTAGCTCAGAGTCAAAGAGACCTGACTGCAGAGCAGGTAATTGATACAAAGTTTACCCACAGAACTGTAACAGTTAGGTGCAAGATAAAGTGGCACAACATAACAAAGCATCTTACTGTGTTACTACCTGATGTGTTTTTAGGCTTTTAATATATGCAGCCATATTTGTTCATAATATTCACTGTCCTGCAATTTCAAATAGCATGTTATGTTGACACACTTATCCCTCTTGGTTAGCTCATGTTGTAGAGGGCAGAAGTGCCTTGCAAGAGGTGGAGGATTCAAGCCTCACAGCAGACAACACTCTTAATGTGCTGCCTTTGCTATGACATTTGTAAATGGTTATAGACATTCCCTATATTAGTCTTTTCAACTAAGGATGATAATCTCTAGGCCTGTTTCCTGCACCTTCTCTGTACTGGTTAGCAGGGGACATTGCAAAACCCATGCGCTTGTAGTCTGGCCTTGTTGTTGATCATTCAGACCCTTATTTAAATCAGCTGTAAAGCTGAACTGGGTTAGCATGTCTAAATATCACAAATAGGTAAGTAAAAAAAAACCCTTGGCCTTGCCTGTCTCTTTCAATTCTTGTTAAGAGGGTGTTTGACTTTTGGTTTGGTTTTATTCACAGGCAGCAGAGAAGCTTAGAAATCTTTCTGAAATTCACTACAAGGTAAACTGACAGAGAATAACTTTGTCTTTTTTCTTATATTCTTACCTCATGTCTTGCACCTGAAGTGCTTTCAGCATTGTTATTGGGTAGTGCATTGTGGAAATTATTAATTTATTGGTTATTGTATTTGTAAGTTTCCTTCATTCCTTATTCTTATCACAACAACTGATTAGACATTTATTTATTCATTTAAACAGAATAGATGATATGCCAAAGGAGTGGTGGTTTAAAATGATTTGATGCAGTCATAACTCACTGCATAAAATTGATACTTGAAGTTTACAAGAAAGTTCTAGTATACTGGAGTTTTGTGGAGACTGAAATGAGTTTTGAACCTTAATTAATTATGAACCTTTGCCCTTAGGAGTAGAATTTTTTTTCAAATTTAAATGCACTTATAGGGTCATCAATAAAATTGTTTTTGATGCCCCATGTATTGAAGTGTTCTTGTTTGTGAAGTAAGTTTCTGAACATTTAATATCATTTTTGTGAAGTATATTTTAGAACTGTTAATAATAAAATGGAAGAATGAATGCACACCTTGTGAAGTGTGTGTCACCACTGAGTGGAAAACATTGGCTGAAATCACATCATTGTTTATAACCCACCCATTAATTTTTGCACAATTTTATTGGCTACTTTAAATCATGTGGTGCAAAATCACAGGACAGTCATAAGGCAATAACCCATAACTCTGTTTAAAATGAAACGCAGCCAACCCAAAAAAAGCCAGCTCAAGATTTTCATCTTCTTATCTGTTATCATTTTGTAGAGTCAAAGTTCCCTTCTCTGCCCTTCTTTGTCCTTATCACTTGATGTAATAGAACTAACTCAGAAGCTAGTTTAAGCTGGAATGATATAATTATTATTTGCCTGCACTGCAACCCAGGGACATACACTCAGTTTCTGAGCAGCTTTAAGTGGAATAGTCCTTGAGCAGATGGGTAAATCTTCATGTTAGTTCAGGCACTGAGATCAAACTTATACTCAAGTGAAAACAGATGGGTTGCAGAACCTTGAGGGAACTGTAGAGTAATCAAGGTTAAGGCAAGAACTCTCCGCAAATGATGCAGTTATGTAAATAATTATTCTTTTGTTGAGCACAATATGATAAAAAGGTTTTGTGTTTTTGCACACCAGAATTACTGGGCTTGAACAGAAACTTTAATCTCAAAATGTTACTAAGAGGACTTCATCACTGTCAAAGAACCCTTAAAGCCAGAAATCAAATTGAAAAACAAACAAAAAGACAAGAAAACTGCATGTATCAATTAACTTGTAATCAATTAAGTTGCTCTTTCATCTTTTGGTACCAGTTTGAATTGTTTTGTAAGTATCAATTCAATGATAAGCAGTGAGGGTTGCAATAGGTCTTCTCAGGAATTTTGCAGATGCTCAACTACCTTGTTGCTAGCAGGCACTAAAAAGATGAAACTGTATTATGATGAAAATAGCTGTTAATTGGCTGTTGTAATCCAACTGGGGAATGATAAATTTCTAAGGACCACTTCCACAGAGCTGCAACCCATTTTTTTAAGAAGGGTAGGGCTTTTCCAAGAAGTCTGAAGACTCTTTCTTTCATTTTTTTTTTTTTTTTTTTTTTTTTTTTTTTTTTTCAAACAAGTGTGAAAGAACAAAACAGAATTACATTCTCAAGTAAATAAACTCATTTCCTCAAGAAGGGTCTTGCACTTTGCCTCATTTTGAAAGATAAGGTTTTTGGACAGCAGAAAAGGGAAATTAAAACACTATGATTGACTTTGAACACACAAAGGATTCACCATGTTAATTTATTTATTGACATAGATACACTACAAACATGAAGGTAAGTGCGTGTCTTTTCAGACTGTTGTTCCAGCAGGGCAGTGTCTACACATGACAAGGCAATTGAAGCTTTTTCAATTTCCTGATTGCTATAGGAATGGAGAGAAGCGGATCAGGGACATTACTACAATTATCTCACACTCTAAAACCATGGCTAACAGATAGCCCCATGCAACACACATCACTCAAGACAGTTATCAAATAATATTACAAAAGAGGAAACTTTACGGCTTTTCCAAGCTTTTCAAGCCAGGCAAGTTCTTGAAGCACATTTTTGCCATAGGAAAGGGTCTCTTTATGTTACACAGTACAAAATATACATCGTGACAAAGGTCCTGCCCTTAGTCACAGGCATCACGTTTCTTCATTTCCCGAGTCTCCACTATATTCCATACAATCATCGTCATCATCATCATCCACATCATCTGCATAGTCGTCATCGTAGAAATCTGTCAAGTCCTCAGGTTCAGAATGTGATGGTCTGGATTTTATACAGTACTCTTCAACAGTTGTTGGCACTGTTATGTTTTCTTTTTCTGCCTCAACTTTGGAACGCGCTACTTGTTTTCTAAGATGTGAAAAATGCATCATTTTTTAAATTACTAGTTTTCAAATTCCTTCCTTTGCCTTTTCCTGTACAACTTGCATCAGAGAACTTTCTTAATAAAAATGTTGCAAGTTTTATTATAAAGTAGTAGAACTTGATACAAGAATTCTACCTTTTCAGCAAAGTTCATCACACAAGTCAAAGAAAAATCAGTGAAAAAAAGTATTGTTAGCATGCCTCACAGAACCCTAGCAGTGAGGCACATGGGAGCATGAACATCAATTTTTTCACTGATTTTTGCCTTAGCTGCTTCACGAACTTCACTGAAAAGCAAGGCCTGTTTTAAGTTTCCAACAACCCCCCTTATCAAAAAGATCTTCCATTAAAAAAGTGCTCTGAACTCCAGCTTTTTATCTCTGTGTTCTTAAAGCCTACAGCATGTTTTTCCCCAAAGTTTTTCTGTTCATTTCTGGCACGCATGTACATTTAAAAGAGAGAAAAGAACAGCCAGCTTACTTGACAATCCTTTCATACTCTCCATCCTTTCCTTTTGAGTCTCTCCATTTTCTGAACATAACTGAAGCATCCACATTTGCAGGAGAAAATGTGTTTGGCTCATTTAACAATGAGATCACACTCAAGAGAATGGTTCTATAATCACACAAAAATTATGATTACACTTTGATTGGAAGCTTTCACAATTCACTACTGTACACATATTTTTCCATATCTCGCAGAGAGTACATAGAGCAAGAGTCCCAGATTCCCAACATATACCAAATAGGTACCAAGACAGTGGTACCACTGTCAGAGCCCGGGTGATATTCTGGAATGGGAGGGGGGGACTAAAACAACAAACACAGCACGAGTTTCCAAAGGATTTGGGGTTGTTTCTAGGAAAATAAATTCAAATCTTCAGGTTCACAAATGCTTTTCACTGGTAGACTGGGAGTTATAGCCTATACTTCTTCCAATGTACTCTCAGGATTGACCAAAAAATAATTTTTCTTTAAAACAAAATACACTCCAACACAGGGGGGTCCAACACAGGTTTGGAGGGATACAGGATGTGGGATACAAAAAAAATTAAAGGCAAGATGAAAATAGGAAGGTGAGACCAGGATATGCTCTGTTTTGAAGGCGGAATAGGGAATAGGATGGATATGGGCAGGATCATGATTCAGCTCAAGTTACATGTCACACGACCTCCTAGATATTAGAAAGTATTATTTGCTTTGGAAACCAGCTTAATAATGCTCCTGTATAAATTGGGGTTGACAGACCTAAGTGACTCTGTAATATGTCAAGTTTTCTTTATATTAGTTACAAATGTTTACACATCTCTATAGTATGTCTGGTTGTCAAAAACTGAGTCCCTGTTGAATTTTTCACCCTTATATATAGAGGTGACTAAGGAAGTAGCTTTTGAAACAGATATTTCAGCCATAAATTTGATTGTTAGTTGTGTTTATTTGCTTGTTCAATGAACTGGTTGACAACATATCTGTTGGTGTCCAAGAGAGAGGTTACCCTGTCCATGTAGCATTTCTAATCGAGCAGTTTGTTAGCACCTTTACTTAAGATAAGCTCATAATGTCCATTAAAACCGGTATCACTATTTTTGGGAAGCTTTGTTTTTCGATGAAGTTGATGAAATCTGTTGTATCTTTGAGAAATGAGTTGTTTTATTGTGCAATCAGCTGAAGAATTTTATCTGTGTAACAGGATAGCTTTTCAATTTCATTGGTGGATTTTTGTGTCTCACTCATTAATACCATAAACATACAGAGGAATGACCATTTTTTAAGCCATAATGAGAGTACGTTATCATCATTGAAAAGGCTATAATTTGTCCAATAGTTGGTGATGAACTTGAACAACTTGGGTTTAACCAGGTGGGATCAAGATGAAAATGTTCATTCCATGGGATGACAGGATGGAATGAAAAATAGCAGAGGGATTTGGGATTGGAAAAGTCTATTTTGGACCCTATAAGCAGAAAGGTGATATGAAAAGATAAAAAATACATGATATATTTTTATTTCACTTGAATTCTCAGATAAAACAGATTAAGAAATAGTTTGCTAGGGCTACCATTAGAACCAGGAAGGCAACAGAAACACTTTTTGCACCTGATACTTGGAGAATTGTTGTCAAAGACAGACTGAAGTATTTTTGAACAGACTCCAACATCTATGTTTGGCTGACAAAAGTTACTCAAATTTTCCAGAATAATAAAAACATGTCTCAGAGAATTTCAAATTTTCAAATTACTGCCATGTGTGTAATGCAAGCATAATTTAATTCAGCCAACTACTCAGTCCAGATCATATTCCTTTAACATTTTCTAATAATGACCAGACTGACAGTGCTGTGAATCGATTCTTGGATCTTGGGAACAAAAAGGTTAAATATGAGAAAAGATGGATTATTTTTGAATTTTTGAGCACCTGTTTCTTGGCACCCCTGAATAGTTTGAAACAGATATGAGTTCCCTTCCATGCTCAAATTCAAATTATATTCCAAATTTTGTAAATCTCCACATAACTTGAAGCAATTTCCCTTTTGTTCCATTCTTACTGGTGTATAAACTTATGAGGTGAGTTTCAGATTGAGGAATAACAATCATATCCTTTCAGTAAGAGGCGAGAGTTGATGAGGATTTATTTCTCCAGAGTCAGCATTACTGTATCAAGCTATTAATTAATACCAAACTGCTTGACACCATTATTTTTAACAGATTTACGAAAAGCATTTCAAACTTTTTCTCAACATATTTGGGAAAGTGTTAGCTCTTAAACTGAAAAGATTTCTTCTCTTAGATCATGTCTGGTGGATTTAACACTACTTTACAGTATTCAAGATTGCAAGCAGGTATTGAGGTAAACATCATTTAAAGGAATTAAAATATTTATCAGAAACTGTAACAGGAACACTTATTTCTGGCTACGCTCTTGATAGTGTAAAATTCTGTCATACTTCACAATACGTTACCAGCAACCAACAGAATTGATAAAAATCCAGAAACGGTGTTTCATCCAAAAAACTGGTACTATACACATCTGCCTCTGCGATCTCGTTTGGATTGGATATTTTTGTTAAGTTGTGATAAATTGGCTAAAAACCAAATGTACAGTCACAAAGAAAAGCTTGGGTGGTTTTTTTTTTTCCTTGACTGTAATTATGAATTGGACAAAACCACAACGCCTGCTTCAAACTAACCACGTTTCCATCGTGTGACAAGGAAAACATGCCGACAAACAACAGTAAAGAAACGTCATGGCTATTCGAGCGACATTGGAAGCGAAATCTTTTCTGGTCAACTTTTGATTCTAAAAACAGCTTTTGGCAAGAGGTGAACAAAATAAAATTTGAAGCTATCGAAGCAATCCAATATATAGGAGAATCTTAGGGAGCCAAAACGAGCATAGCGGACAATTCAACCTCACCATGAAAGTAAAACGAGGTCGCATTTGGTGGAAATTGTTCAGACACTGGATAGATTCCTAAAAAGTAAGCTTCAATAGAAGTTTGATTTTGATTGATGGACAGAATAAGGGAACAGAAAACGAAACTTTTCATTGATACGTACCTAACATTCTGCGTTGGGTTCCAACGTTCAGAAGGCAATTCTCCACTTTGTGGATCATCGACCGGTGGATGTAAAATTGAAATGCAGACATCACCGGACTATAAAAGCGACAGCAATCATTAGCTGCTAGAATATGAGAAGTAAAAAAAATCGTACTGGATGGCTCAAAAACACCAGAACGACGCCTCACCTCGTATATATTAGGGTGCCACATTTTCGTGAGGAAGCGAAACGTCGGTGGCGAATATGGATATGTAGAAGGGAACGACATATGTGCCTAACGCAAAATAAGACATGTCAAAAAAATTAAGATGTTAGCGAAATTTGACTTTCGTAATGAAATAAATGTGTTCTGTTCGATCAGAGACTTACTTTGAAGTATCCACCTTCATAGAGAGTTCCAGGAGGACCAAAAATCGCTACGTCCCATTCGAATAAGTTCTCATCATCTGGTACATTGACGAAAAAACCTTCGACTGGTTCCTCGGTAAGTTTCTTCAACTCTAGCTGTAACGCTCGCACAGCCGATGATGGTGGTTGCGCTGCCATTTGCCCTATTCGATTCTCTCTTTCAATCACAAATTTTAAACTCGAACGGGCCTTGATTTCGACACTAAATAAGTGAGCTTTTCCACCGCATTGAGATCATTAGCCCTCTTCCCTAAAGAAGTTTTGTTGTGTATTTACCAGTCCCAGGCTCCCAGCTTCAATTAGACGTCACAGAAAACATCCATATATGGCACGACTTTGGCACGACCAATGAATGACCGGAACCGGAAGTAGTCGGAAACTGATATAGCGGAAATGCTAAATGCTTTGCTATTGTGCGCAAAAGACAATGCTGTTTTCCAAACCATATCAGTAACTATTTCTTCTAGTTGCATCATACGCAAGACACCAAGTGGGCTTTTACCTTCGTCGAGAAGTTAAACCTGCCTATAAAAATGGCTAGAGAGTATAGTTTATCGCATGTAATAATTCGTGGTACTCAGTACTAATCGTCCACTTTATCCGCTCCTCAAGGCCAACGGTACTGCTCGATTTTGTCACCAATTTGGTCTGAAGTTGAGTGAGTTTTTAAGGGAACTATAAAGTCTTGTTTTGAATGAGACATGCCTGTTTAAAAAGACAAATCTATGAAATTTCTACATACAGCAGACCTTTTGGTTTTGGGGTAAAAGAAAGGATAAATGTTTCAGTTTGGGTTTAACGCTATAAATGAAGATTGGGGTTGTGACTGATTTAAGCGTCTATGATGTCATAACCACCATGAATAATATTTAAGTAATACGCGTGATAGTTAGATTCTAGCGGATTTTTGTGATATTATAGATACCTTCTAATATCAATTTCGGTTTGAGATGATGGTGAGCTTTATTTTTTGTTTTGATGCCTGGTGACATGAAATGTCTAAATCTGTTGAGTGACAGGGTTTGAACAATGTCATGAATAAAGGCTTTGGTTTATTCGATGGGTGACGCAGTGGAAGATCAAGCAATTACGGCCATCAATAATATGAATTGGTATTCATTGATGTATATATCCAGTGTGTCCAGAAGATAAGAATATGGCCTGGCCCCGTTTGCTAAGGACGTCTCATAAATAATGCATGGGGAGTAAACAGAACCGGATAGGCCTGACCTGGCTCCCAGTACGATATGTGGTGTAACGAAAATAGAAAGTCTCCAACTCAGAGCAACAAAATTCATCTTAAATACGCACTGGCAAGAGGATGTTTCTTATCATGAGCGCCTTTCTCGCCTCAATCTGTTACTGTTAACATACTGGCATTAGGTGAAATACTTGATTTTTTATTTCAAGTATCGCGCTGGCCACTTCACCTTACCCAGAGATGATCAGTTACGGCAAGCCTAAAGGCACCTATCTCACTCGCCATAGCTCTGATCAAGACGTACTTATCCCGAAGTGCCGCACAAAGCTCTTTCAATTTAGTTACTTTAACCGTACTGCTTAACTCTGGAATACGTTACCCGAATCCACTCCTACTCTTACTTCTCTCGATCAGTTTAAATCCCACATACTCCAACGCTATTCTGCTGCTTTTCGTACAAACTATGACGTCACTAACTTTAACACCTGGATCTGCTGCACCGTAAGCTGGGAACTGCTGGTACTGAATCTTTTTATTGGCTACGGGAGCGATTCGTGCTCATCGTTTTCTGGAAATAGGATTTTTATACCTCTTATGATGTTTTTAATGTTTACATAGTTAGCATTTGTGAATTTTCTTAAGGGCACTTAATTTGGAGCCTCGCTCTGTTGTGTGTCCCGCACCTCCGTCTTGTGACCTCTTAAAATGTATTTCTTCTACCTAATCTTATTTTAGCATTGTGGTCATGGTGAAAGCGATTATATAAGGTTTCACATTCTCCTTTTGTTAATGTCCTTTCAAAGAATGCACGCTATTGGCCGTGCCCTTAGTTTTAACTACCTCCTCGATTTATCAAGACAGCGCATGACCCGAAGGACTACCTCGATGTAATATTTGCACTCTCAGCGCTATAAAGAGAAAAGCCTGGGCTAAAGATTGAGGTCATAACTGGTGTAGGAATGTACCGTCTATAACATAATTTGTCTTCAGCTAATTTGGGACGATTTTACACAACATAGGTAAAGGCAAATGACAAGCCAACGTAACTTTCGTTTACAGGTAATGCTGTAATTTTGTTGCGTTTGTCATTAATGAATTGTATAATCGTTAGTACCTAGTCCCTTTACTTAAAGGAAAAAAAAGAAAAAGAAATTACTAAGTGACGTCATAAAACCATTGTTCTTGGACCAATTGTAATAGAATTATACTGGTCATGTGACCAAATCCTACAAAGTGTACATGGTTTCCTCCGGATAAATGAAAGTCACTATTCTTTTGGAGCATTTTTGGCGATAATTTTCCGCCTATTTAACTTCTTTCTAAACACGTGGATTTTGTATATACTAAAATGGATTCGGAGGATGAAGACGCGATATTTGACGACGAACACGAGGATAGTTATAACGAATCCGGCTCCGAACAGGGCGATGAAAGCGACTTCGACATCGACTGCGACGAACCCTCTACTCCGAAAAGACCTCATATAAATGACGATTTTCATTACGAATGTCTAACCCCTGAAGCTTTAGTCAGTTACATGAACGCTATTATAGACGAGGTTAATAACGTTTTCCAGGTAAGCTACTAGGGTTTCGTGGGAGTACGGCAGACTTACTTATATATCAATGCAAACATCAACAATACAAAACGTTGTCCTGTCTTGTTGGGACTTGCTGAATCAAACGAAGGGTCGTGTGTTATTATCAGAGTGTCTTGGGAAGTTAAATGCTACCCATATTCTAAGAGCTATGAATGCCTCCATTATTTAAGTTTCTCCAACGCCAAAGAACCACGTTCGTTGAAATATCTCTGGTGATAATTTTACTTTCCTCGAATTTCTTGTCAGCCAGAACGGAGGAAGGAATAAGAAACTGATCTTTTGTTTTTCTTAAAATTTCTTGGTATTGCTGGTTTTGAAACCTATTTTTCCCTGTTTTAGGAAGTTAGTCGTATGTATTCCTCTAATTGTAACTAACCAGTTACTAAAATATATGTTGCTTCATGGGATGAAAGCAATTTTATCAAAATTATTTGATGCAATCCATTGTTTCCATCGACTACCAACTTTTTTTGGCTTGTATTTCGCGTTGTGTTTAATTTCTGTTGTTAGATTTTTGAAGTATGTGAAGCTTTTATGGATTCTTGGAATTACAAGTGATTGCTGATATTACCTGCTACACATGCCCCCATCATGTGGAAGAAACCACATGACACCTTTGATTAAGAGAAGATGATATTATTTTACTATTCAATTGTGATTAGTTGACATGCAGATTTGGCTTTGCAAGAGATTTGCTAAGTCATGAAGAGCTGAGAATCTGTAGCAATGTGAACTAGATACCCAATGGAGGGTCAAATATTCAGCCCTGGAACCTGGGTAGTCTGGTTCAGGTGTAAATTAATTTTGCAGTGTTAATGCATTGTAATTTTTTTTAAAAAATGGCAGCTGTTTAAAGCAATTTTAGCTTAGAGGCCCTTTAGTAAAACAAAATTTACACAGCAATTATTTTAGAACAGATAGTGACAGCTAGGAATCTAGTATATATATATTATATATATATATATTAGACACCAAACCAACTTGCTTAAGTTTCACATATTAAATGGATTTTCCTGAAAATTTTATACTTGTATTGAGTGTTATGATTCAGTCCAATATTGATATTTCAGGTAGGTCATCATCAAGGAAATGATAACAAGTTGTACTTGTCTTTAAAATAAGTTCAAAATTGTCTATAAGTTTAGATAAGATTAGGTACTGTCTGTCGTTTATGTACATACTAGTACAGCGTTTTCACTTAAGGGGCAATCAGCTATATCTTTAGTTAACCTTGTCATCCTCAGATTGGCCAAAGAGGAATTTCTCAGTAATGTCAGTAAGGGGATAATGTTTGACTTAGCACCAAATTCCCTAAGAGAGAACAATAAACAATGAGAAATGGATGACAGAGAGTGTAGAGGATTTAAATTTTGATCTTGGGAGTGAATGGGTTGATCTTCTTCTTTTAACTAAATGTTTTCAGTGTCTTTTCACTGCAAGTTTCAAAACTATTTGATACAAGCGTAATAATTGTAAAACTTCTAGCTTTGTGACATCAAGATGAATACTGACCATGTATTTTTATTTTATTGGGACAGTTGCCTAGACCAACAGCCAGGATTCTTCTTAGTCACTTTAAATGGGATAAAGAAAAGCTACTAGAGAGGTTCGTGAAAATTCTCTTTTGTTTATCTCTGAGAAACTGGGTATAGTTGAAACTTTTTTAGTGCCAGGTAAATCTACATGTACATATAGGGACTGATACACCATATTCTATACTTTAACCTGTAACCATGTAGATATTTTGCAAGTTATGAAGTTTTTTCTGAGCCCTGTAAAGGTGAAGAAAAATACATCCAAGGAGCAAAATGTCTAACCATTAGTTATTTGTTAAACCATCAAATAAGGATTTCTTTTTCTCCTATTATTTCATTTACCAGTGTCTTGTGCTGTAGTTTTCAAGAAACATCCTACAGCCTCATCTGAGCTTCATGTCAATCACACAAGATGTGCGCAAAATATGAAAACAATTCTAACAAATCATTAGAGTGTTCTTTAGGACCAGTTAAAAAATTTAGGGCACGTAAGATTGTTACTTAAAATAGTCAAGCCTTAAAAATGAAAAAAAATCAAAGTTAGGGTTGTCCAGTGTGGCCATTTTGTTACTCAGATGAATGTTATGAGGTAATTCTTTAGGAAGCCTCATTGAGGTGCCTAAATCTCTACTTTTGAGGAGGAGAGTAGGTTTCATTGCAATAACTTTGACTGAGAAGTTTGTCAAGCACAGTTGTGGGACTTTTCATTTGAGTGTTGTTAGTAGTAATTCAGGATTGTATTGGTTTTGTTTTGCTTGGTTTAGTGAGGGGTCCATTCTAAAAGGTCACACACAAATCTGTATGCGTAAGACATTATTTTGAATTTTGTCTTACAGAAAGGATACTCTACAATAGCATACATAAATAGGAGATTAGACTTGTTGTTGCATATCATGCAGCTTACTTTCTAAAAGATTAAAACATCACCCTCCGTGTCCTCTCATCATCAAAGTATTTGTAACATCAGTAACAGATGTAAATAACATGTACTATTTTGTTTTAACACTTGTAGATACTACAGTGGAGATCAAGACAGGCTATTCTCTGAGGCTCATATAGTTAGTCCAAATAGAACAAACTCTAGACCTGTTTCAAGTAAAAGGGTTTGTATTTGCCACTGATCATCTCACACTGCTTGGCTACAGAAATTGAATGATTGTGATATTTTTCTCAGTTTTTACAGATGTTCAGTTAGTAAGGCTTAGTGTAATAGTTAAATTAACAGTGTGAATAGTAGCAGCGGAGCAAAAAAAGCGGAAGGTTTGAGTTGGGTTGCATTAGGTTATGCTAAATGAACATCTGGAACAGGCTTCATCTGTCTTAAACCTTAAAACTTTAATATCAGTATGCATGCTCTCCATATGGTTCTCTATACATTTCCCAAGGTGCTGACAAGGAGAATTTGCTTAACAATCAAGAGTTTCTTTAGTTGTTGATCATTTCTATTTTCATGACCTTAATGTTTCAGTTAGGGGTGATACTGTAAGGAGGAATTAGATGCGAGTTACTCTAAGGAGTGTTAGGGTTACACATTTAGCTGCCATGTTGATGATCAGGAATGCAATTATACATATATGTATATATTTGTCTGTCTGAATTTTTGGGAATTTTTTATTTTACGTGGGAAGTAGTAAAGGCTTGCATAAGTTTTTGTTTCACTTATCTGGGTGACTTTGTCTAAAGTATGACAAGTAGATCTCTCTATGTTAGCTTAGGACAATGTTAGCTCAAGCTTACATTTTTTAGTGTGGTTTCCCACACTCTACAGGTGTCTTTTTTTTAGGAGGAGGATTATATTCTGATTAAAAGAACATCTGTGCAACGTGTAGTTTTGTATTTTGTTGTCAAGTGAAAATCTCAATAATTAAGCTCTATGCTTGCCAATTTTTTTGTTTGTATGTTCTATCAACTTCATGAACCAGTCTGATGTAGATTTTATGTTGTTAATTGTGTTTCCCCACACTCGAAGCCACTTATATCTTTTGTGTCATTGCTATTTTTAACTTTATTTTATTGGCCATGACATTATATTTAGTATTACTTGGACAGAAGTATTTAGTTGATCTTGCTGAGTACTCGTGTTTACATAATAATTGTCTGTTCTTGAGTTTTGGTGAAAGTTAAATATGTTTGGTGAATTTCAGGTTAACACCAGATCCTCTTCTGCATCAACTGATGGAACTTGTGAAATTTGCTTCATAAACAATCATGTACCAGTAAGTACAGGAAATTCTCACAAGCGGTATTTTTTGTTATAATTATCATGTCATTTACCATGCAAGACACTTGTTTGATTTGCAAAAAAAGAGAAAAACCTGGACGTTGAATTTTAACTAGTAAATCCTATGTTGCTGTATGTGTGCCCAGTAAAAGATCACTGAAAACATCAAAAATGTAAAATGAACTGAATTTGTGGATTTTGCGTTTGTCTTTATTTAATAAATAGATTCCATGTGTCTGTTCTATGATAGATTGCAGATGACATGAAAATGTGCTAAGAATAAAAAAGTGGTAAACAAGGCACAGGCAATTGAGTCAATGATATTCTACCCAAATTTTGACTTCTTCTGTGATCTATAACTCTACGGACCCATGAAAACATGAAATCTATTTCTGGTACATGATAAAAAAGCAAAATATTGTTCATGGTGACCTCTTCAATGCATCTGTACTGCTACAGATCATAAAGTATAAACCAATCAAATTGTGTATATACATGAAATTCAGCTTATCTTATAAAGACTCTTCACTCCCAAAATGACAACTTTCATAATGCCTCTGCTGACATACTTCAATTGCATTCCATATAAAAATGTCTTAACTGCTTACTCTTCTTCAGGCTTTCGTTGGTTTAGAATGCAACCATAGGTTTTGTCTTAGATGTTGGAAGGAATATATTACCACGAAAGTAATGGATGAACATGTTGGGGAGGTAGGCATCTTACTTTTATCAGTAGTCTCTCACTATTACTCTCCAGGTGACTTTCTTTACATCGAGTCAAACTGTTATTTTTCACTTAATAGAACATTTCCTGTCCAGCACACAAGTGTGACATCCTAGTAGATGAAGTATTTGTAGGGTAAGTATTTTTCTTAAACTACAGTGTATGGTTTTGATTGTAGAATCAATTATGTGATTAATAACGTAAAGGCCCTTTTGTGATACTGGCAAATTTGGTCTTAAACAAGAAACACCACCACAACATTCTGGGGATTGAACCTCCGTAACCTCTACAGTAAGGCAGCCACAAAAAAAACCTTATCAAACCATTCTGTGGTGTAAAGTGGGTAGGTTCTTTTTAAGAAACTGTGCTGCTGCGATGGTGGGGGAGTATAGCAAGATAATTTTGGTTTTATCAACTGAGTTGATAATGTAAATTGGTCACTGAGAGTTTCAAAGCTGGTGTTTTGGAAGTAGCCCTTCTTTGGAGCAAAAACCTGAGAAAGGGCAAAGGCTCAAAGTATTGGCTTTGAAACTCTACAAAGTGGCCAATTTACATTATCAACTCAGTTGATAGAAACCCATCTTTTTATCTCATTCTACAGTCTGCTAAATTTGCATGACTATGTTTGTGTGCACATTTTGAGCAGGAAAACTTCTGATTTATAGAAAAACAACAATTACAGGGTTCACATATTGTAGAACCCCTGCATAATCAGACTCCCAAAGGAAAATGAAAAATTGGTTTAATTTAGCAAAAATATGATTCAAGGCAGCAGGGTTTTAAGTTATCCTAATTGAAATTGAATTGAAATTATCAATAAGGAATCTTGTGTTTACCATTCTTGCACAATCAATAAGAACTTTTGTACATTTAGTTTGTTTTATGAGAGCTTCTCTTAATAACATATAGTTTGAGAAGTTGAGCCTAATGTATTGCATTAAACTAAAATGTTATCATATTCATTTCAATCACAAAATATTTCTTCGCATTAACCTTCAAGGAACCCTCTCTGATTCACTGTAGGGGGAGTTTTATTAAAATTATTTTGCACTACAGTTGTACCATTTAAACTGATCTTTATGAACCATAAAAAGTTATAAATACAGCCAGTAAGGCTTTGTGTTTCTTCATAATTTTCAATTCTTTGTTCAATGGCAGACAAGTGGTAAAAGACACTAAAGTAAAAGCACGATACCACCACCTTATAGCTAACAGCTTTGTTGAGGTAAGCTTTAGTCAGAAGGAAGGCTTTGTAGCTTTTGGCTCTGAAGGTGATTCCTTAGAAACAAAGGTTGTCAAACCATTTTTTTTTAAAACTCACCTCAAATGTTCCTCACCAATCTTTGTTTCAAGAAATACTAAAAATAAATGCAATAAATACAGTACTCATTCAAGTGCAAAAGAGCATCTTACCTGTCTACCATGTCCATTGACTGCACAGTACTGGATGTGCAGTGCAATACCAAGGAATCACCTTAACTGTTTGACAGCTACAGTTCCTTGTATCACTCTTGTGAAGGGCTTTTTCAGAGCAGAAACTTAAGTTACTTACCATGCACTTATTGAAAAAAAAACTGAACATTTTCTTCTGAAATTATTTGTTCCAAGTCAAAAGGCAGGAGTTTTAGTTAAAGGTTGGAGCAGTGTGTGGAAACAGGAGATTCTCACCCCTCCCCTTCCCCAACCCTTTAACTCCCCCCCCCCCCAACCCCCAATTGAGAAAAATTCTAAGTCACAAGATGAATGATAAGGTTATTTTTACAGACAAAAATATTGTTTTGTCTTGGTGGGTTTTTAGGAAGAGCACTATTTAACTTCAAGTGAGAAATTTTTCTTCTGAGATTTTTAGGGTGGAAAACTAAGTCCATTCACAATCTTTCTCTTCTTTCTAGAGTAACAGACTGATGAGTTGGTGTCCAGGGCCTGACTGTCAAAATGCTGTGAAAGCTAATTACCATGATGCTTTACCTGTGACATGCTTGTGTGGTTACACATTTTGGTAGATCTGTCCACTTGCTTTATTTGCCAGGAGTACTTTGCAAATTGAGTGTTCAATGTTTCAAATACAATTATGTTGTAATGTTAATTAATGTTAGACGTGTATTTTGCTTCTACAGCTTTGGTTGTGGAGAACCTGTTCATGAGCCGGTGCGATGCGCAGTAAGTAACCAAAACCATGTTGTGTTCCTATGTCTATGAGTGTACATATTGCCCATCCTCTGAGCTGCGTATGCGGATCAATGTTTATATCTGAGCAACTATGCAGTTGAGAACTTTTTTTTTAAGTCTTGATTACCAGAACTAAAGCGCGAGGTGTACCCTGTCATATCTGTGCTGAAATCGGAAACTGATAATTAATAACTAATCTTATTATAAAGCTAGCAGTGTCTTTGGGCAATGAAAGGAATCCTGTGTTTTGATTGGCTACCTAAGCAGGCAAGATGGGTGCATCTTGCCTGCTTGGGATCGCCTACTTTGATCCCATGCAAGACTTGAAGTGCACGAAGCAGACTTAAAAATATTTAGTTTTTGGCACTGTCAGCGATGGAGTCGCAAAAATCAGCAGAAGATAGTCACAACTCTCATGGGTTTATTGTCCTACAAACACAGTTCAATTTCTCTCCGAACACTCAAAATAAACAAGTCTTTATTTATTCTTATGATATCAAAACCTTTTTGCTTCATGATAAATTCTTTACTGGCTAAGCTTAGTTGGTCAAGATGGCTGGATGTTAGCCTCATTCTTTTTTTGGCTTTTTATGGAACTCAACTTCCCTTAATCAATAAAAACACAAAAAAAAATAACAGGGCAAATATCCAGGCATGTTGACCTCATGCTTGGTCAATAAAGCATATAAATTCTCCAAAGTATTGTTTTAAAACTGTCATTTTATGCCCCAGTGGCTCAAGAAATGGATAAAGAAATGCAATGATGACAGTGAAACATCAAACTGGATATCAGCAAATACAAAGGTTTGTTGGTTTGTTGATTATTGGTGTTCCACAAGCTCCAGGACTGGTGGTGAATCTTGCAATAATCCATCAACTCTGACTTCTTTCATAGGAATGCCCAAAGTGTCATGTGACAATAGAGAAGAATGGAGGTTGTAATCACATGGTTTGTCGCAACAACAACTGCAAGGTAACTGTCCATGACTGTGCGATTGTGAAGGTTGAAAGAGTTTCCTTGATGTATTAGACACATTCTTACTTTTGGTTTTATTACAAACTGTTAAATGGTTTGATCGTTTCCTCTCCAATTTAAGGCTGACTTTTGTTGGATGTGTCTGGGACCTTGGGAGCCACACGGATCAAGTTGGTAAGTGTGTTACTTTTTCTTCTGATATGAAGGACTTCAGTTATGTTTGTGTTATAATTTAACTATATATATACAGGGCCAGGTCGTTCAAAGCTGGGTTAAGGTAACCAAGGGTTAGTGTAAAATCTGATTTCAGATCTGAAAGCTTCAAAAGAAAATTCAGTCGAATTTTTTTTGTCTAGAATATGATTATTTGATGTTCTAAAACGAACACAGAAAATTATCCCAAAAAGGCTTTTGAATAAAGGAATGAAGAACTTAGATTTAACCTCGGATTGGCGCTAATCAGCGCTTCAATCTATTTTCACCTCGGGAAGTGAAACTTCTTTTATACCTCTTAGAGTGCAGCTTGATCGCATTCATTTTGTTTTGAAAGAACTGATGTAGATTTGTGTTACTTGTCGCCTTCTTCAGGTACAGTTGTAATCGTTACGATGAAAAAGATGCACAGGCGGCTAGAGATGCCCAAGCTGTAAGTTTCTATCGCAAGACTTAAGTTAAGAAAAACTGCTTTGTATAGTTGAAGCAGAGTATACTTTCTTGCACCGAACTAGCGTAGGCATGATATCAGCTTAAAATGACACTAAAAGGTTGTGACAGTGGTAAAGAAAATCCTCCTAGTCCTCTTGGAGTGAAAGATTTATAACCATGTCTCTGGGTTTTTTTTTCCTTTTTTTTTCAATTCATTGTAACAGATTGATCTGATATGAGGTCATTGTGTTTACTTTCCGTGGCTGCCGGTGAAATAAAAAAAAACAAACAAACAAAACCAAAACCAAACCAAAGATACTATTTTTTGTGGCTTTAACCCTGTGCAACCCAACATCAGTATACATAAGCTCCATACTGTTCTCTATACATTCCATAAAATGCTGACAAAGAGAAACAATCTAGAGCTTCTTGTGCTAGTGATCATTTCCTTTATTTTTGTAACTTAACATTTTGATTCAGTGGTGATACAGAGAAGTTAGTAGTTAGTCACTCTTAGGGTGTAAAGGGCCAAGATGTTGTCTCCATCTATCCCTTAATGTAGTCTTGAGTTAAGAATCCAGAGTTGCAGTGTGGTTTTAAGTCTAGTTCAATGACTTACCATATCTTATTTTTCAGAAATCACGGCAAGCCTTGGAACGCTACCTATTTTACTGTAATCGTTACATGAACCATGCACAAAGTGCCAAGTTTGAAACTAAGGTGAGATTCAGAAAAATTTCTTTTACTTCGTGGATAAAATGCGCAATCAGTCAATACAATTCACCTGTATAGTAATAATAATTACAACTTATCTTCTTCCTCGTCTGCAATTTAGCCTATTTGTATTCTCTCTCGGCCGTTGTGTTTCATCACACAACGCATATTACATCGTAGCCTGCGAGCAGGTTCTCATGACGCGTGTTTCCTGCCCACGGGGATATTTGAGACAAGTAGGGAAAAGGTTTGCCGGAGGTCTGGCACTAGATCCCTCGCTGGCTCGCGGTGCTCAAGGCCTTACAGGAAACGGTCCTGCCGAAGCGCTAATAATTACATCGCTCCAAGACAAAACACATGACCAGACGAACGATGGCCGCAAAGTAGCTAAAAAGTTTCTTTACAAATCTTAGTGACTTTCACGTCTTGCTCTAAATTATTGCACGACTTGTCATGGAAGTTTCAGTTTTCTACTAGTACTAACAGTGATTGCGTGAGGAGTAAAAATTTATTTAAGAAAATAGAAAGCTACAACAAAAAGACACGGTAGTTACTTGTTAAGCTCAGTATGCTTAAAACCCTTTTGTGCTTGTTAATTGTTAGTTGTATGCTCAAGTCAAGCAAAAAATGGAAGAAATGCAGCAACACAACATGTCGTGGATCGAGGTTTGTAGCAATGTCACATCAAAGTGTTGTGACCCAAGATCAATAGACTTTCGATTTTATTTCTTTAATATGTTTTACTAGCGTGGAACAGAGCAAACAAGGCGTTAAATTGTTAATTTGTGCCTTCTCCATTTCACCGTGACTTTAAGTCTGCGATCTCTCTCATTTCAGGTTCAATTTCTTCGTAAAGCCGTAGATGTTCTGTGCTTGTGTAGAAACACTCTTAAATACACTTACGTATTCGCTTTCTACCTTAAGAAAAACAATCAGTCAGTTATCTTTGAGGTGAGTTCGTGTAATTCGAAATACTTGTTCATTGTAGAACCGTTTTCAGAATTATTATATCTCTCAGTTAGTGCGTGCGATTGGTCAATTTAACGGGCTGTATTTCACTGCACGCCACGCTAAATTCAAAAGTCTGTTGAACTGAAATCTTCCCCCTCTATTTTAACTTAGAGATGTATTGATATCTTACTAACCTCGTTTTTCGGTCCGTACTGTATGTTACGGAATCTCGGTTTTTATCCGCTTTGGCCATACATCTGAGCGGAAAAACTCGGTCCATAACTGACAGCACGGACCGCGAACTCGATTAGCAAGAGGAATTTTTGCTCTTTAGTACTTGAAAATACTCAATTTCTACTTTTTATCGTGCAACCATTTGCTCCTTTGACCAAATGTTATGTTGTGATATCTTTTTATCCGTGTTGAAGCCCATTTGGATCGTATTAATTACCTACCAACATATGATGATCCGACCCTTTCAGAACTAGAAAATTTTTCCGCTTAAAGGAAGTAAACGGAGCATTCATCTTGTAGGAAATAACTTTGGAACATTTTCAATTCAAACTTATACAGGATAACCAAAAAGATCTAGAAATGGCTACGGAGACACTATCAGAGTACCTAGAGCGTGACATAACTTCAGAGTGTTTATCAGATATTAAACAAAAGGTTCAAGATAAATACAGGTACTTTTATTTAAGAGCTGTACCTTATTTTTTTTTTTATTTCAAAACGTGGACTCCCCTTTAAAAAAAGAAAAAAAAAAGTCAAGACGAAAGTTGGGGGGGCGCTCGTTTTTAGAGGGACAAAAGGCAGGTCTCCGTTTTCCCTCTGAATTTCCGCCCAAGTTGATGAACACCTCTGTACAGTATGCATTTCTTCGGTTGAAAACCTACGTTATTCTAATCACAATTTACTACATGGGCGGTTTTGTTAGAAACTTGAGTTTCAGAGGGGGTGCATTGGAGAGGAGAGAAACTTGACTCGTTTTGACTCACTTCAATGGTAGAAAAATTTAAAATATTCAGCTGTTTACGAATCTTTCCTTCTTTACTTTGAGTCAGGGACAAACGATAATACTTCATAGTGGAGGGCAACGAATGGCCTCCAATCTTTGAAATGTGTCGGTCAGTAAGAAGAAAATCTCAATACGTGGGAAATAGAAACATCATACCATAGAAAGTGTTTGAACGATTACTATGCACTCGTCGCGATGCATCAAAAAACTCACCCGTTCGTTTTTTCTTTTTTTGGTTTTTGTTTTTGTTTTTGTTTTCTTTTGATGCATCGCAGCAATCGTAGCAATAATCTCTATATCCTGTGTTGATGTTTCCAGGTACTGCGAGGCAAGACGAAAAGTCCTTTTAGACCATGTATATGAAGGATATGAGACTGACATATGGGAATACATGGATTACGACTAAACTTTTAGATTCTTACAGATGAATAATGTTACTAAACGCTAGGATATCAAAATGGAGTTAACTGGATCAGATTGCTTGCTGTTATATAGTTTAAGTCGAAGTTCATATTTACAAATGTTATTAGAAAATTACTTAGAAGTGTACATAAATCGAAACTTTTCCCTAATTGTTTATCTCTGTGACACGGTTTTTTCCTACGTTGTAATCTGCTAGCGTGATCGCCACTTCTTCAATAACCCGCTTTGTGAGGTCCAGATTTTCTATTTTTTTCCCCCTGTAATGAACGTGTTAAATAGGTTACAAGCGACTGAGAGATACGCCAAAGCACAAAAAGAAAGCTGTGATACGACACAAAGCAGCGAGCTAAGGTAGCTCTCATCGTATCGCTGCGAGTTTGGTAATGTAAAATTTGCTTCAGCATGTAGGACTTAATGAAAGTTTTATGGAGATTTTGAGGCGCGAAGATCATTTACGGTCATTATGAAGGTCAACGAACTTTTTTTGTTGCCGATTCACTGTTGTACAACTTAAATGATGTATAATGTCGCTTAACAATTCGTAATTTGAGGTGTGGCTCATTTTAAATACGTCAGCATTGGTGCACTTCAAGACTTATTGATTGCAGTGAACTAGCAAAGAGGTATCATTTACTAAGGAAGATTTTAGCAAGGTGATAATTGCTGCAGTTGTAAGGAAATATCCTAAACTTCTGTCAATTTTAAGACCCCGTTCTCGGTACAAAAAGGACAGCGTACGTTTATGTGCTGTGTCTCAGACTAGGTTGTGAACATGTTTTCCTTCATTTCAACTTATCTTCTGTTGACTTGATGTGTGTTTCTACATTTCTTTTTATCTTACTTTTGAAAATGCTGTTACTTGTAAATAAACCCAATTATTAAATGCTTGTCTCTCCATACATTTGTTCAAATGTCGGTCATCGCACCTGTGGTGAGGTCCAAACAGCAATGATCGCCTCCGGCAGGAATTCTATGGTGGCCCCTTCTGTGCTAACGAACGTCGTTTTCGTAATGTCCATCCACAACAAAACTTAAAACCGGTGTTACTTAAATTGACTCACTTTGAATCGAAGAGCATTTTTGAAAACCTCCGTTTTCAATTCAGCCGAGTGGTATAGACAGTAGCTCTGTCCGTAGAACTAACGAAAGTTGGGTTTCTAAACGTATCCGCGCATTTTGTTTAGGGCGTGGGTGAGGGCAGAGTTCGTAAATTTTTCTTGCAACTTGTCGCGCAACATCTTTTCTTTGCAAGTTGGAAAGCGTCGTTGCCACTCGCTTGTGAAACTTGTCGCGCAACAATATTCAATCTTGCAAATTGCAGTGACATATTCCACGAAGTAGAAGACGGTTCCACTTTTTGTAACGAATCCCGGTGTTTGTTGTTCGTTTTACCACTTGCGCTGCAATATGCAACGCAACAAAGTTGTAGAAAACATTTCCCATTGGCTAGTCCACTCAAGCGCTGTCAAGTCAGTGAACATGGCGGACAAAATTAATGTTTCCTTTAGATTGAATTACTCGACCACAAATCGTCTGAGGCTCAGAAATTTGACCTGTAAACTATAGGGCAGGATTTCCCTTAATAAAAAGCATGGCCTTCATATACTTCCACTGTGAAGTGTCCTCTTACGCTATCAAATGCCGGATGAAACAAGCTATCGACGACACCACGCTCGGCGAAAGGCGCCAAGACTCTCAAACTGTCTTTTTCTGCTTTAATTAAAAACAGGCCGTTGGGACTTAGTAAAGGGTGACCACGACCGCCTAATAGAGACTACAGCGATTAAGGTAAAATAAATTCAGGACTTTCACAACTAATCGCTTTATACAGGGTCACCGTCGTCCGCCATGACTTGCACCAGACTTGCACCAGCACGAAGCAGGGAATGTCGGGTAGGGATAAGAAGGAGAGCAGACACCTTCCTATTTTCTCTCGCGCGCATTTCTTGTCAATATTAGGGACCTTTAGATCCTAGGACGGCGAGCGGAAGTTTAAAATATTTGCTTGCGCATTTCCGGTAGGCGTGGCGCGAAGTTCCCCGCCGTAGTTCAGTGGTGTTGTATGCGACGTCAAAACGAAGTGTCTAAAACGTGAGTAAGTTTCTCTTATTTTAAGGTCATTTCAAATGGATTTATCGTATATTTTCAATATATGATGAGCTGTCAAACTTTTTCTTAGCTTGTGACAAATGTAAATGGTTGTAGAACTCATTTAAAGGCGAAGACTGACCTAAGTTTCTTTCTCCTTCAAAACAGCTCCAAAAGTTCGTGACTCAAATAAGCTTAAATTGAGACGAGTTCGAAGGAAAGAGTCCAGTAAGTTATTTTCGGTTCATATTCTTGATGAATATTAAAACTAAACTTGGAATTTTAATCTAGATAATTTACCCGAGTTTGTTTAAGGAAAAAATCGCTGAAGCAAGACATTATTGTGGTTTTTCAGATCAAATATTGAGTGGACCGAGGAACATGATAACTGCTTGTGTCAAGAAATTTTAGAGCTTAAACTCTTTAAGTAGGAGAAAGGAAGCTTTTCTAAAGGCAAATCTAGGAAAAATTGCAAGCAATCTGAACGGCCTTAGATTTCCCCGATCCAAAGTCAGTAACCGTGCTTTTAGAGAAAGATACACACTTCTGAGTGAGAAATTTAAAGCAGAGATGAAAGACGAAGAGAGGGAAAGTGGAATTGAATGTGATTTGAGTGAGGTAGAAAATGCTCTGGAATAAATAGCCGAAAAAGAAGCTGCAGCTGAAGGCACCATAGAAAACGAGAAGAAGAAAGCTGACAACGCAAAAGCAGCGCAAATGAGAAACAGAGCGCTAGAAAGCCTGAACACGGAACACAGAAAAGGCAGCGGAATGAAGAGGAGGAGAACGTGTAACCAAAGCAAAAAAGTCGTAGAAGTGGAGATGACACAATTGCATATTTGCGCAAAAAATGATCTTGTTCAGAAGTGGAAAGAAGAAGAACTGCAGCTGCAAAAGCAACGAGTTGAAGTTGAGGGTAAAAGGGAAGATGAATCAACAAAACAACATCAGGATATAATGAAAGTCGTGGTGAAACAAACTAAGCAGCAGCAAGAGCAGATGCAGATTTTTCAGCAGATGTTTACCTTAATGCAACAAAAGCAGTCTCAAATAATTATGAAGCTTATAGAAAAACAAAATTAACTTGGCTTGGTTTTGCATTCGGCATTTAAATGGTTTATCAGCTAAGTTTAACTTTGACGTTGTTGTTTCTTTTTATACCTAAAATCTTACATTGCATTAAGACTTAGACAAACTGTTGGACACGAATGTTATCCATATTTTGATCACTTTATTAGCAACTTATCTACAAAATAATGACGTATCGTTATCATTTTGCCAAAGTTTTGTATAAACACATAAAAGAAAAATATTTGCAAAGGTTTATGTAGGCATTCTGACTTTAACGAGTCAAGTGATGTTGTCACATAAATATTTAACCGAAACAGTCTAAGTGCCGTTTCACTTGCCAATGTTTAGAGACATACGTACATCAGATAAGTCAAATCAATCAACAAATATAGAAAAGTATAGAGTGGTTTGGTTAAAATGATAAGATCAAGACGGACATGTTTTTCTCTGTTATTGCGAGTATTGTCTTGTCGTATGATTTTGTATTTTTATCAAACCACGTTATTTTAGCAGAATAAAATTATGCACTTCGCAGAAAATGACTCAAAATATTGAGACGTTGACGATACACATACAATTTTAATTCTTAAAGGCATAGATGTTCGGATGATCTAAGTCATATTTTGTCTAATTCGCAAGGGATTTTTGGGACATCACCCAATGCTGGGGCAGATGAGATCAAGTTATTTGTTTTATCTTTTTAATTTTTAATGTCCCTCATTCTGTTCACTCGCACAATGCTCTCAACATCGCTGATCCTAGCAGTATGCAGGACACGTGACGCGTATAAGCTTAGTAATTAGTAACGTTACCATAGCGGTTCTCAGTAGCTTGTAAAACATTCTCAATATAGACTCAGGTTTATTGCTCTGTTCCACGCTCGTTGCAAGACGAAAGAGGCTAAGTTATGCTATTTGCAGATTGTTTTGACGCACGTGGATGTTGGACAAATAGCACACCCGCCAAGATGAAAACGATCTTAATTATTCATGTTCAATAAAAAATTTTCCATATTTTAGTTTCCCGAAACGCATAATTATAGAACCACTCAACAAGATAAACGCTTGTTTCTTTCTCTTCATACAATTATTTACCAGTGGAATAACTGAATGAAGGCAAATAACGACTTACAAGGAGGAACATAGAGTGTGCTACGTAAACGTCATAACATGTTCAGGTTTGATTTGTGTGATTATTTTTACTTGTAAGACTCGACGTTTGTTCATGAGTCTTGAACGTGCTTGTAAGGGATGGAACAGAAGTAAATATTGATTCGAAACCGAAATCTCTCTTGGATCAAGTGACCATCAAACATACTTTCGTTTCTAATCAGATTTATGATGGCGCTGTTGGCCGGGTTTTACCGAGCGTTTGGATTGTTTCAAGTTTCTTTGGTCTTCCTTGGATCCAGTCTTGCTTACGCTGAAAATAATCCCTCGCCACGATTTCCAATTGGCGATCCACGAAACTGTCCTCTTACAAACGGAGTTCATCGCGCCGAGGTTCTTCCGGGAGGCGGCTGGGACAACCTTAGAAATGTTCATATGGGCGCTGTTTCAGTGATGAATTACTCCAAGTGCAAGACTTCAGACGACGGCAAGTATCTCATTCCCGATGATGTGATCCTGTATCCTATCAAGGAGAGCAAAGTGCATGTATTTGCTGAAATGTACGATCACTGGCACAACTATTCGTCCACCACAACCAAGTCTATTAATGCTGAAGGAAAATTTGGTTTTGGAAGTGTAAGTGGTTCGTTTTCTTCTGAGTTCGAATCAGTGAAGAAACATCAAGTGGAAGATAAGACTGTAACCACTCGAGCACAACTACGCCATGTTTTATACACGGCGAAACTCCAGCCCGATGCCCCCCTACAGGCACCGTTCAAGTCCCGTTTGCTCGAGATCGCATCTCACTTACAGCATATCAATACTGCCTATGCAAATTTTCTCGCCCTAAAATTAGTTCGAGATTTCGGAACGCATTATGTTACAGGCGTCAAGGCCGGAACAGCCCTGGCCAAAGTGGATCACTTGACAAAGAAATTCGTTGCTGGTTTCAGTGAAGATAAAAGTAAGATCACAGCCGCCGCGAGTGCATCTTTTTTGGGAAAGTTTGGAGTCGGTGCTGGCTATACTCAGACAACAGACAAAAAAGTTTTGGATGAATACACACAGAACATCGTTTATTCCACAGTATATACATTCGGTGGACCTCCATTCAGGATGAATTTTACCATTAATAAATCGGAAGACCAACTATCGGATGAGCTGGTTGCAGTTGATCGGTCCGGAGACCCTCTTCATTTTGCAATTACACCCAAAAGTGTACCAGAATTGTCCGAAGAACTGGTCTTCAAACTAGCCAACGTTGTCGGAAAAGCCATTAAGCAGTACTATGAGCACAATACCATTAAAGGATGCACCAAAATGGACTCTCCGAACTTCAGCTTTCAGGCCAACCTCGACGATGGATCTTGCGAGAGCCCAACCAATAACTACACCTTCGGGGGCGTTTATCAAACGTGCCAATGTGATGGCTCTCCATCCAGTAATCCATGTGAATCCTTTCTCCAGAAGAACCCTCTCACGGCCAACTACTCTTGTAGTAATGGTTATGAACCAGTCATGCTACATCAAGGTCGCACACCCGAAAGCTGTCATCGTGAGTGCCACGGATGGTGGATTTTTAAAAGCTGCGACACTCATTGCAGATTCGCCAGCTGCGACACCTACTGGTGTGTTGCTAAAGGTTTTGTGCCTCGTAATACAGGATATCTCTTTGGTGGACTCTACAGCAATGTGTTAAAGAACCCAGTCACACAAGATCACAGCTGTCCAGCGAAGTTTTACGCCTTGCGCTTCGGAACCACCATGCAAATTTGTGTGAGCGATGACTACGAGCTAGGCTTCCAGCAGTCAGTCCCTTTTGGTGGCTTCTTCAGTTGTAATACTGGTAATCCTCTCGGTGTAAAGAAAGTAGCGGACAGTACCAAGGGATCAAACGGTATGTTCTCCCTTTCCCTTATATACCTTATATTGGTAGGCATACTCTCTCTACTTTTCTCAAGACATTTCCTATTTTAACGACGGGGAGAAATTGTTTAACGATCAAGAGCTTCTTTGATAAATGATTATTTCTTTTGTATTCGTGACCTTAGTGTTTGATTTAGGATTGAGACTGTGAAGAGAAATTAGATACTTATCACTGTTAGAGGTTGAAGGGTTACATTGAAATAGACCCTTAAGCTTAATGGTTTCATTTTCTTCCTTTTTTTGCCTTTGATATAACTTTTTTTTTATCCTTAATGATTGCTAGAAATTCTTAAAACTCAAAAAAGCCTGATTATTTTAAGATCAGTACGTGCATTTGATTCTTGCTTTCTCGTTGTTGCGATTTTGAAATAGTTGTGCCCTCTGAGGCCCGGGATCTCTCAATATATCATTTTGTTGCAATTTTATCTGAAAGCAACTCTAAAAAGCTTTAGTGGCAAAGAGCATTTAACTGCCAAATGAAAATAGAGCTTGACTTTCTGGTTTCAATTACCGCTCGGCCAACCTACAACTCATCAACAATTGACGGCCTTTGTTTTCCAACGCAGGTATGGCTTTTTCTTTCGTTTTTCCTTGAAAACATGTTTCCCATGAAACTTTGTTCTAACTAAGTAATGTTCGGCTTTTCCAATTGTGTTGCGGTACTATTTTCTTCCGACTATGAAGGAAATTTTGAAAGTCATGGTTTGGTATCAATCGATAATTTTTTTTTTCTTCTAGCTCGGTGAGAAGCTACGACACCTTTTTAAGTCCATGAATGGTTAGGGAATATGACCGCATTTATGAGAACTAGAAAAAATATGAGCGAGATAATTTTGTGCACTTTCGAGTCGCATAAACTCAAAAGCCATCGGGTGCCGAAAGATAAAACCATCCGTGCAGAAAATAAAGCAACAGCGGAAGTAAATGTTGACACTCAGAATCGGCTACATATGGGAAATGCTTGTTGACATCTAGCGTTATACAGTGATAAGATCTTGATGAAAGAGATTTCACACGAAATTTCTAAATCAGGAGCACAAGCGAACGATCGAGGAACAAAGCCAACATCTAACTCGGGTTCTTTCTTTTTCGCGGCAAAGCCTGAACACAACTTAGCCACTGTCATTTATCTCCGCCCTTAATGCGGGGTGGCCAAACCAATACCTTGAGACCTTACCATTCGCGTCCACCTATCCCAGTTAATTTCGCTCATATCTGAATTAGAACTGTGTTTTCTTTTATCGAACACAACTAGACAGGTTGAGACAGCGGTCAAATCTTCCTTCATTCGTTTGCTTATCCGTTTTGTCTTTTGCTACTTTGCAGGTCACTCAGGCTTGGAGTTGTTTGTGAACCAGTCTGGTCCGTCTGTGTGGCCTAAAACCTGTCCAATAGGTTATTCTCAACATTTGGGAGCCATTGAAGAAGACTGTGAGATCAACTTCTGCGTGAAGTCCAATATATTCAACAGCCAGGGATTTCCTATCATCAAAAGACCTCCTTACTCGAACGCGCCCAAAATTTACAAATACACCGTGCCCTTGCTTGTGGTTAACAATGACACCGGACAAATTTGGTCAAAACGATCCAACTCAACACTTTGGGTTTTGGCCACTAAAAGGTGAGTGACGGGAATGTCATTCTCTGAGCAGAGTCAGTACTGAGTAGAATACTACATGGTGGAAACCTATTGTCAGTGACAGTAAAAGCCATCATCAGAGTAAAGTGAGGGGTCGTTTGCTAGTCGAATGACTGCACAGGTTCCTCTGTGTTATCATTAGTTTTAACCTCGGGTAGAGTTCGTCAATTTCGATCTCAACGGTTAGTAAAGTTAGGTCGTTCAGATCATTGGTTATATCCATGTTCCGAGAGGAGAGGGGGGGGGGGTTCGGAAGATTTTTAGGGGATCACAATGTTTTAAGGGGAAACTGCGAGGGGATCAGTAGTTTCTAGCAGAGTTTATAAGGGGGGGGGGGGAATAGAAAATTGACTGCCAGTGAGGGGAAGGGGATCATGAGAATACTGCAAAGCCTCACGGGAAGATCATCTGAATTTTATCATGACGCAACCAAAATCCTCGTTCCCCCCCCCCCCCTCTCACTCTCCCTCTATGTCCCTAAACTTGTTGACCAACCAACGAACAGAATAATAACAAATCAAGAGACAAGGAAACTAAATTTATTAGCACAGCTAAATGAACTGACTGTCCCTATTATTCCAACGAGCTGGATCTTCTCAGGGAATTAATAAACCATTTCTCGTATCTCTTTCGCATCCAGCTCTGTTGCTGAACTTGCAGCCGAAACCAACCCAGATGGTCCTGCGCATGAAAACGTGAAATCTACCACTCATGGCAAACAAACGTCTTCCTCACAGAGTTCCCGTGATGCCGAGGGTGCCGGGGCCATGGCTGGTATTACATTCGGCGTGACAGCATTGCTGATCGCAGTCATGGTCATTGGCTGGCGTCGCCATAAGACCATTCAAAGAGAGAGCAGCGGTTTGATGGAGCCATTGATTCCCACTGAGTGCGACGCAGTTAATGAGCAAGGAAGCCTACGAATTTGAATTACCCAGGAACTTTTTTCTTTTTTCCCAAACTTAACAAACGTAGATAGGAAGGCCATTCAAAGAGAAACGTAGATAGGAAATTTGATAATAACTTGTTGTCTCTATAAGCGTTTTTGAAGTTGATCTTTTGTCTCAGTTTTTCCCGTAAATTCGTTTTTGAAGTGACATTGTTTTCAGCACTTGTTCTAATGTAAGTGAAATGGAAGAATTAACCCTAATTTTTGAGGCGCAGACAATGTAAGCACAGGAGGTTTTGTTTGACAGAGTACTGTTACACCTGTTTACACGATGATGTTGAGTGTCGCTAAGCCAAAACCAAAATTATCAGAACTACCAATCAGAAGGAAGAAAAATACTCTAAGAGCCAATGAGAACTTAAATTAAAGATCACCGAATTACCTCAAGCGCGGGAAAACGCGAGCGACTGAGTCGTGAATTGGTTATAATTTTAATCTTGTTGGTCGAGTTTTCTGCAACAACTACAGATCGAAGAAGAACAAAACCAAAGCAATCTTGGATTATAACACTCAATTGAAAATTTTCTCCATATTGTGTCGCACAAACAGTGGATTATTAAGTTGTGCTCTCTAAATACTTATATAGAACTCTGTTGATTTCGGTATAATCTTAAAAGTTATTCTGCCTTTTCAGTAGTCGGTTTAGAGAAGTTATTTTGCATTGAATCACGTTGAAAAACAATGAATAGACGAATAAATACATAAATAGATATTCAGAGAAATTATACTGACGTTAGAATTCGGATATAAACAAGGAGAGGAACTTTCAAACCTGACCATTGGATTTTCTTACGCTCCAAATGAGTTTCTTATGGCCTGCAAGTTTCTAATCTCGTTCCCAGAGGTCAGGCTTCCCCCAATCCCTTGCGAGCCGGAAACGCCGAAGATTGCATGTATCAAAAGAAAGAGGGTGTCCAATAATTAGACTTATAGTAAGTATCCCACGTAAAAGTTATATGCCGTAGGGTTTTATAATTTTAAGGGTTGTTAAGCCTCGTGAAGCTGTCAGCAAATATTTTTCAGGGCTGTAATATAAGGAAGATAACAAGGACACGATACTCATTTTCAAAATTCCTATAAAGTAGTTGGGGCGTTCTGGGAAGGGAGGGAAAGTTCCTCTGGTTGGGCAACTGTCACGTACCTTTTGAAGGCGGTCGACCCATCTTTATACCCACCCTGTGGCTCTGCCGACCTTTGGTTGCCTAGACTGTGCAAGGCTCTCGGTTTGTAGAAACGAATGAAAAAGGAGCGCCCATCCCAGAAAACCGGAAACCCGTCACCGTGTAAACATGTCCAACGTGCGCTGCAGGGTTCTGCGAGAGAGATGACAGGTAGTCGCCGTATGTATCCTTTATCAAATTGGTTATATGAGTTGTGAATTTGGCCATAATTGGCTTTAAAAAAATTGCAAACATAAACCGCAGTTTCTGTCACTTCGAACAAAAAAAATTGACTTTTTCGTTGAGTAAAAGACCCATTTCGCAAAAATAAATTTTCGCAGAAAGTGCGTGAACGATTTATATGCACTCATTGTGATACACCCAGAAGAGTAGGCAAACGAATCAAAATATCATTGACTCCATAATGCGCAAAATATTCGAAAATTATAAAAGATATTTTATAAAAACACTGTAATCAACTCACGTTTTGTACGAAACGGCAAACTAGTTGTTTTAACGTCGCAAACAACACACCTACGGCTGGAATTTACGGGGAACGGCTACCGGAAGTAGGTAAACACGCATTCAAACTTCCGCCCGCTGTCGTAGACATCCGCCGTCCTCGGATCTTAAGGTCCCCTAAAACCCGCTTAAGTATTTTGTCTTTGGCGGGCACGACGGGACTCATCCCAGCTTCCCGTCCTGGTATCCTAAGGTCCCTAGTAGCGTTGTATGTGACGTCAAAACGAAGTGTCTAAAACATGAGTAAGTTTCTCTTATTTTAAGGTCATTTCAAATGGATTTATCGTATTTTTTCAATATATGATGAGCTGTCAACATTTTTCCTAGTTTGTGACAAATGTAAATGGTTATAGAACTCATTTAAAGGCGAAAACTGACCTAAGTTTCTTTCTCCTTCAAAACAGCTCCAAAAGTTCGTGACTCAAATAAGCTTAAATTGAGACGAGTTCAAAGGAAATAGTCCAGTAGGTTGTTTTCGGTTCATATTCTTAATGAATATTAAAACTAAACTAGGAATTTTAATTTAGATAATTTACCCGAGTTTGTTTAAGGAAAAAATCACTGAAGCTAGATATTATTGTGGTTTTTCAAATCAAACGTGGAGTGGACCGAGGAACATGACAATTGCTTGTGTCAAGAAATTTTAGTACTTGAATACTTTAAGTACAAAAAAGTAAGCATTTCTAGAAGCAAAATCTAGGAAAAATGGCAAACAATCTGAACGGCCTTAAACTTCCTCGATTCAAAGTCAGTAACCGTGCTTTTAGAGAAAAATACACATTGCTGAGTGAGAAATTTAAAGCAAAGATAAAAGACGAAGAGAAGGCAAGTGGAATTGAACGTGATTTGAGTGAGGTGGAAAAGGCTCTGGAAGAAATAGCCGAAAGAGAAGCTGCAGCTGAAGACACCGTAGAAAACGATAAGAAGAAAGCTGACAACGCAAAAGCAGCGGAAATGAGAAACAGAGCACTAGAAAGCCTGAGCGGAACACAGAAAAGGCAGCGAAACGAAGAGGAGGAGAAAGTAAAGCCAAAGTAAAAAGGTCGTAGAAGTGGAGGTGACGCAATTGCATATTTGCGCGAAAAAAATGATCTTGTTTAGAAGTGGAAAGAAGAAGAATTTCAGCTGCAAAACCAGCGAGTTGATGTTGAGGGTAAACGGGAAGATCGATCAAGAAAACGACATCAGCATATGATGAAAGTCTTGGTGGAACAGACTAAGCAGCAGCAAGAGCAGATGCAAAGTTTCAGCAGATGTTTACCTTAATGCAACAAAAGCAGTCTCAAATAATTATGAAGCTTCTAGAAAAACAAAATTAACTTGGCTTGGTTTTGCACGATGATGTTCATAATATGTTTGATTTTGGTTGTGAATACTTCAATGGTTTATCAGGCAAGTTTATACTTGACGTTGTTGTTTCTTTTTATACCTAAAATCTTACATTGTATCAAGACTTGGACAAACTGATAGACTCGAATGATATCCATATTTTGATCACTTTATTAGCAACTTATCTACACTTCAAAATAATGACATATCATGTTGCCAAAACTTTGTATTAACACATTAAAGAAAAATATTTGCAAAGGTTTATGTAGGCATTCTGACTTCAACGAGTCAAGTGATGTTGTCACATAAGTATTTAACCGGAACAGTATACGTGCCGTTTCACTTTCCAATACTAAGTGACATCCTTACATCAGATAAGTCAAATCACTCAACAAATATAGAAAAGTATAGAGTGGTTTGGTTAACATGATAAGATCAAGACGGACATATTTTTCTCTGTTATTGCGAGTATTGTCTTGTCGTATGATTTTGTATTTCTATCAAACCACGTTATTTTAGCACAATAAAATTATGCACTTCGCAGGAAATTACTCAAAATATTGAGACGTTGACGATACACATGCAATTTTAATTCTTAAAGGCATAGATGTTCGGATGATAAGTTATATTTTGTCTACTTCGCAAGGGATTTTCGGGACATCACCCAATGCGGCGGCAGATGAGATCAAGTCATTTGTTTTATCTTTTTAATTTTTAATGTCCCTCATTCTGTTCACTCGCACAATGCTCTCAACATCGCTGATCCTAGCAGTATGCAGGACACGTGACGCGTATAAGCTTAGTAATTAGTAACGTTACCATAGCGGTTCTCAGTAGCTTGTAAAACATTCTCAATATAGACTCAGGTTTATTGCTCTGTTCCACGCTCGTTGCAAGACGAAAGAGGCTAAGTTATGCTATTTGCAGATTGTTTTGACGCACGTAGATGTTGGACAAATAGCACACCTGCCAAGATGAAAACGATCTTAATTATTCGTGTTCAATTAAAAATTTTCCATGTTTTAGTTTCCCGAGACGCATAATTGAAACCAACTCAACACGATAAACGCCTGATTTTTTTCTCTTTACAAAATTATTTGCCAGTGGAATAACTGAATGAAGGGAAACAACGACTTACAAGGAGGAACATAGAGTGTGCTACGTAAACGTCCTTACATGTTCAGGTTTGATTTGTGTGATTATTTTTACTTGTAAGACTCGACGTTTGTTCATGAGCCTTGAACGCGCTTGTAAGGGATTGAACAGAAGTAAATATTGATTCGAAACCGAAATCTCTCTTGGATCAAGTGACCATCATACATACTTTCGTTTCTAATCAGATTTATGATGGCGCTATTGGCTGGGTTTTACCGAGCGTTTGGATTGTTTCAAGTTTCTTTGGTCTTTCTTGGATCCAGTCTTGCTTACGCTGAAAATAATCCCTTACCACGATTTCCAGTTGGCGATCCACGAAACTGTCCTCTCACAAACGGAGTTTATCGCTTCGAGGTTCTTCCGGGAAGCGGCTGGGACAACCTAAGAAATGTTCATATGGGCGCTGTTTCAGTGATGAATTACTCCAAGTGCAAGACTTCAGACGACGGCAAGTATCTCATTCCCGATGATGTGATCCTGTATCCTATCAAGGAGAGCAAAGTGCATGTATTTGCTGAAATGTACGATCACTGGCACAACTATTCGTCCACCACAACCAAGTCTATCAATGCTGAAGGAAAATTTGGTTTTGGAAGCGTAAGTGGTTCGTTTTCTTCTGAGTTCGAATCAGTGAAGAAACATCAAGTGGAAGATAAGGCTGTAACCACTCGAGCACAACTACGCCATGTTTTATACACGGCGAAACTCCAGCCCGATGCCCCTCTACAGGCACCGTTCAAGTCCCGTTTGCTCGAGATCGCATCTCACTTACAGCATAACAATACTGCTTATGCAAATTTTCTCGCGCAGGTTTTGGTTCGAGATTTCGGAACGCATTATGTTACAAGCGTCAAGGCCGGAGCAGCCCTGGCTAAAGTGGATCACTTGACAAAGAAATTCGTTGCTGATTTCAGTAAAGATAAAAGTAAGATTACAGCTGCCGCGAGTGCATCTTTTTTCGGGGCGTTTGGAGCTAGTGCTAGCTATACTCAGACAACTGACAAAAAAGTTTTGGATGAATACACACAGAACATCGCTTATTCCACAGTATATACATTCGGAGGACCTCCATTCAGGGTGAATTTTACCATCAACAAATGGGAAGACCAACTATTGGACGAACTGGTTGCAGTTGATCGGTCAGGTGACCCTCTTCATTTTGCAATTACACCTGGAAGTGTACCAGAATTGTCCGAAGAACTGGTCTTCAAACTAGCCAACGTTGTCGAAAAAGCCATTAAACAGTACTATGAGCACAATACCATTAAAGGATGCACCAAAATGGACTCTCCGAACTTCAGCTTTCAGGCCAACCTCGACGATGGATCTTGCGAGAGCCCAACCAATAACTACACCTTCGGGGGCGTTTATCAAACGTGCCAATGTGAGGGCTCTCCATCCAGTAATCCTTGTGGATCTTTTCTCCAGAAGAACCCTCTCACGGCTGACTACTCTTGTAGTATTGGTTATAAACCAGTCATGGTACATCAAGGTCGCACACCCGAAAGCTGCTTTCGTGA